GCTTGTTTCAGTAGCGGGTCAGTGCGCCCATAACCCCCCAGGCAAACGCGCCTGTAACCCTTCCCTAGGATCAATCGGCACCAGTGGACCTCTGACACCCCCCCGCACTGGGATGCCCGAAGTGCATACACGGGGATTCGAACCCGAGACCTTCGCTCTGATACCATGTCAGAATCCCAACCACTAGACCATTGGGATAAAAAGGGCTTGTTTCAGTAGCGGGTCAGTGCGCCCATAACCCCCCAGGCAAATGCGCCTGTAACCCTTCCCTAGGATCAATCGAGGATCACCAGTGGACCTCTGACAGGAAGCAGAGTCGGCGTCCCTCCTTGCCAGCATCCGTGGCCGCCACGTACCCCGACTCTGTCGACAACAATGTCACGCACTTGTTGCATGAGCTCGACCAGGAGACAGCGACCCCTTCGTAGACGAACACGTAGCCGCCCGTGCTTGTCCGATCCTGCTTGTCGCCCGCGTTGTCAGCGTCCATGTAGCCGATCAGCTCCAACGACTGTGGCCCCACCACCAAACTCCAGGGCGGTGTCGCGGGTATCAGCGAGGTAGGCGAGGCAGCGGTCGACCTCGTGCCAGTGCTGATCGCTCCTCACCGTGAAGCCGCTCCCGAGCTTGCTGCACCCGATCGCTATGTTCGGCCTCGTCGTCATCGCCGGGAACTGCAGCAAGCCAACCTTCTGCCGGTACTCCTCCTCCTCGCGCTCCTGCGCCTCCTCATCGTCGAATGTCAGCTCGGCGTAGGCGTCAACCAAGACCAGCGTCTTCGGGATCCGATCGCCTTGCTCCTCGTCGATGAAGCGCCTACGCAGCTTGTCGGCGTAGCCCTGTTGGTGCAGCCACAGCTTCCTCGCTTGCCCGTCGTGCACGATCTCCAACCCGAGGTACTTGACGATTGGCAAGATCTCACGCAGCTCGAAGGCGGCCTCCAGCAGCTCCTTCAGCATCGCGGTGCTGCAGCTGGCGGCGAGCAGGTCGTCGACGTAGACCAACACCCAGCAGGCCACTCCATCGTCGCCGACCTTGAAGTAGAGCGCCGTGTTGACGTGGATTTGTTGAAATAGTAGCACAATAGGTAGTTAGGAGAATAGTTCGGCCTAGGCTTAGTAGCCTAGGCCAAGGAGGATCGAGTTGGTTGTGCCAAGGGTGTCGAGAGAATTTCGGGAAGAATGATGAGTTCACTATAGATTTGCAATCACATATATGCAAGTGAACAAAGGTGCACCACCTAACACAGTTTGTAATAACTACACTAACTACAGCTACAGGCAGTTACAAATATAAACTCTGACACTCCCCCATAACTGCCTGCAGCAGGAGTTTGTGCAGAACACAACCTGCAGGGGTACACAAATAGCAGCAGCAGCAGGTAGGTAGGTAGGTAGTACAGCAGCAAAGGTACAGCAAGAATTCCTGCTATCTCCTCACCCTCCCCCTCCCCTTCCCCCTCCCCCCACACTGCTGCAGAAGCAGCAGAGGGGGGGAGAGAGGAGAGGTGGAGGGACGGCTGCTGGACGGTCTCACACCTGCCACCCCAGTGCCACTCCCCCAGCTCCCCCACACCCTCACACCCTCCCCCCAGCGGCAACTGCAGCAGCGGGAAAGAAAGGAGGAGGAGGGGAAGGGAAGTTGGTCTCACACTCGCCACCGCAGTGCCACTTCCCCAGCTCCCCCACACCCTCACACCCTCCCCCCAGCGGCAGCTGCAGCAGTGGGAAAGAAAGGAGGAGGAGGGGAAGGGAAGCATACCACCCGTCACCCCAACACCCGCCACCCCCATACCCTCCCCCCCACGGCTGCAGGGAAATGAAGGAGGAGGGGGTGGGCGGGGAGAAAGCCGCAGAGCGGCTACTGATGGTTGGCGCGGGTAGGTCAGGGGCGGCTTCAGGGAGTGTAGGTGCGGGGTGAGGTAGTGGCGGCTGCACCGAGTGCAGGAGCGAGGTGGTGCAGGGGCGGCTGCATCAAGTGCAGGCGCTAGCGAGACACCGCCGAGTGCGCCAGGGGCGGGTACGCGGCGGCTCAGGTAGGTAGGCAGGTAGTGCACCGTCGCACGCCACGGGGCGCACGACGGGCTGGGCACCGTCACGTGCCACGGGGCGCACGACGGGCAGGGCACCGTCGTGTGCCACGGGGCGCGCGACGGGCATTGCAGGTAGGCAGGTAGTTTAGTTCCCCGTCGCACGCCACGGGGCGCACGACGGGTAGGGTAGATGTCACTCGCCATCCGAGGGCGGGACATTTAATGAAAATCGAAACGCGACCTAGGCGCGCGACCGGAAAAGAACTACAGCGGAAGCATACGGCGGGCCCACAGGCTAGGACGAAACTAGCTCTGATAGCATGTTGAAATAGTAGCACAATAGGTAGTTAGGAGAATAGTTCGGCCTAGGCTTAGTAGCCTAGTCCAAGGAGGATCGAGTTGGTTGTGCTAAGGGTGTCGAGAGAATTTCGGGAAGAATGATGAGTTCACTATAGATTTGCAATCACATATATGCAAGTGAACAAAGGTGCACCACCTAACACAGTTTGTAATAACTACACTAACTACAGCTACAGGCAGTTACAAGTATAAACTCTGACATATTTTCTTCCAGCCAGCGCCCAGCAGCATGCCGTCGAGAGCCCTGTACTATAGCAGCGGCGACTTCTTCAGCCCGTAAAGACTCTTCGGCAGCTTGCACACCCGGCTGGTCTCGTCGTCAAAGTAGTCCGGCTGGTACATGTATGTCAGAATCCCAACCACTAGACCATTGGGATAAAAGGGCTTGTTAAGTAGCGGGTCAGTGCGCCCATAACCCCCAAGACAACGAGCCTATAACCCTTCCCTAGGATTCATCGGGGATCACCAGTGGACCTCTGACACCCCCCCGCACTGGGATGCCCGAAGTGCACACACCGGGATTCGAACCCGAGACCTTCGCTCTGATACCATGTCAGAATCCCAACCACTAGACCATTGGGATAAAAGGGCTTGTTAAGTAGCGGGTCAGTGCGCCCATAACCCCCCAGGACAACGAGCCTGTAACCCTTCCCTAGGATCAATCGGGGATCACCAGTGGACCTCTGATAATGTACAGCACCCGGTCGAGCTTACAGTGTATGAAAGTGTTCTTCATGTCGAGTTGCATCATGTTGAGTTGGAGGACATCGACGATGCTGAGGACAATCCTAAGCGTGACGTAGCTGCTTCCCAACGAGTACGTCTCGTCGTAGTCGGCGCCGTACACCTTCGTGGAACCCTTCATGACCAGCGTCACCTTCTCGCGCTCGACGGTATCATCGATGCGGTACTTGGTCGTCAGCACCTACCGGTTCTTCATGACGTTCACCCCGCGTGCGCGTTCGACCAACTCCCAATGGCCCATCTCGATGAGGCTGCAGATCTCCTTGTTCATGGCGGCCTTCACCGCCTCGTCCTTCCAGCTCGCTAGTGCCTCCTTCACCGTCATTGTCGCGATGTCCCAGCGGCGTTCGAAGTCGGCATGCACGTCAGGGGCAAGCGCGGGCAGGTCAGCATCCGCCTCCGCATCGTCGAGCAGTGTGGTGAAGGCAGTTGGTGGCAGAAAGGCATGGTAGCTCATCCACTCATGTGGCCTCCGAGTTCGACCTGAGCGTCGCAGCTCAGGCTCTGAGTGTTGCAGCTCAGGCGTCTCGTTCGGCACTTCCACCACGTCGCTGTCGGTGGACTCCTCTCCTGCCGACAATTCCCCTTCCCCGTCGACATTCTCGTCGTCGACCAGCTGCTTTGCCAACTTTGGCCCTTCGCCCGGCTGCTCCCCTCTCGTCAGCCCTCTTGCCGAATTCTCCTCTGGCGCCCCTATTGACTACCCGATCTGCTGCTCCCCTGTAGACCGAACTTCTGCTGCTGCCTCCTTCTGCACCAGCTCCTCTGTCTGCTACTTCCTTGTCGACGGTTGCGCATCCTCTCGACGGGCTTGTCGTCTCATCGGCCGCTAGCGATGCCACTGGCCGGCGCCATAGGCGACGCCTCAAGGCTCCCCTCATCGACGGTGGCCGACACAGGTGTTGATGCAGGCCGATCTGAAACGGGGTCGGGAGGAGCAAGAACAGGGGGCGGAGGGAGGACTTCCTCAACGTCCTCATAAGCAAGCTCGTCGACCGCGGCGAGTAGTGAAAACATCGCCGTCGAGGAGTCCGCCGGCGGGTGAGCATGCGTCCGCCCAAACACGGGCCCATACTTCACCTTCCACACCTCCAGCGACAGCGTCTCGTAGAATATCACCTTGACCGACGTGGCCACCTTGTTATCGATCAAGTCCAGCACCTCCCAGCCCTTGCTCCCAGTCTCACGAGCGTTACTTTCGGCTAGACGTTGACGAAAACTCGCGTTACACCACAGTCTTCCCCTAGCGCCGCAAGGGTGAGGTCACTGAGGTGCTGATCGACTGGATCCGCGCTGCCCATCGTCAGCTCAGCGAGAGTTTCGGCTCGGACCTTCGTGTTCTGCGTCTTCACTCCGACAGAGGTCGAGAGTTTTCCTCCGATCTTCTGCGAGCCTTCTGTCGTGCGGAAGGCATCCGCCAGACGTTCACGCTTCCAGCCTCTCCGCAGCAAAATGGTGTCAAACTCATATAATATAGTCTATCTAGGCTGTAGTGGGGTAGACACTATCGGGTACAACATTTCTAGGGTTTCCTACTTGTACTCACTTGTTTCCTAGTCATTTCATTCCTCGTTCTTTCACATGGTATAGAGCAGGTTCCCTAGTGGGAACGTTTCCTAGTCTGGTGGGACAGGAGACGACACGAGCAGGGGGCAGACTCAAGACCGGACCTGGACGCTGTAGCAAACACGTGACCCAACACAGCTACCTGACCAAACGTAGGAACCAGAGGAGACTCGGTAGTTAGTGTGCACAGGCTCGACCCCGGCTGACGGGTAAACGTGGCCAAGTGTCGGCCTGTCCGAGCACACGTACAGTGGAACACTCGCTGACTCGCAGGAGTGAACTGGTCAACCCCCCCATCCTATAGGTCAGCGCCACTCACCAAGTTCGTAGAGAACGAGGGGAGGTAAAGACCTGACAGGGTGCCAGAAGGGACCGCCGGACACGGTAGGACAGTGGAGAAGTGGGCAAGGTCAGGACCCCCAGAGGGGTCTGCCAGGGAGACTACAACCGGCCGACTAAGCGGAGTGAGTGTGGTGCGGTCTCGAAAGAAGGAGCGAGAAGCACCCGAGTCAAGGGTGAAGGTGTGCAAAACCTGAGCCGACGTGGTACCTTAGAGAGCAGACTCACCTGCACCTAGAGCAGCAGCCTCAATGCCCGGGTCAGGCGGAACACACAGGTAACCGTCACCCTCATCACTAGTAGACACAACGTACATGGCAGCAAGAATAGCATCATAATCAATATCAAAGATAGCAGCCCCCGACCTAAGCAGCTCGCCCCAGCGAGGGATCTCAGTGGCGTCAGGGAACTGGAGACGCCAGGCGTCCGTCAGGCGGCCGAAGCAGCGCTGGGTGGCGTGCGGGCTGCCGCACGGCTCACCAGTGCGGTTGCCAGCACGCAGGACGTAGGCAATCAGTCGGGCTCGGAGCAAGGAATCCGTAGCAACTTAGATCACTGAAATTGCCCAAGTAACGAGAGAGCAATTGTATATTATGCAAGAGTGGGCACACAAGTCGTCAATGGAATGAACTCTCTGTTTTGCTCTCTGGATTTATGACTAAAACACACATGCAGAAATGTAACATCGAACCGCGCGCGACTCGCCTGAAATTCGGAATGAGGATCGCGTCCAATTTCCACGACGTCCGCGTTCACATTTTCGGACTTCGCCGGGTTCGTTTCTTCACGTCGACAATCGTGTGTTACAAGGAACAATAGCGAGTGTAGCGAAATGTTCGTAACATTCGCTTGCACTCTCACAATTTTCGTGCATGCTTGTGGGGCTACCAAGTGTCGCCCTCACAAAAGTTCGGACCCAACCGAGGGAAGTTCGGTTGCGTGGCGACGCGGACAATCCGCCGTCACCCCAACCTTCCAAGAACGAACCCTCCCTTGGTCTGAGTCAAGGGAGGTCTTCGCGTGGGGGGCAATCCCGTCCCCCACACTTCCAACACCGCCTCCTCCGCTCCCACTGCCACCGCCGCCGCCGCCTCCGGCTCCACCGTCGCCACCGAAGCCCCCACCCCCGCCACCACTCCCACCGCCACCCCCACCCCCTTCGCCGCCTCCACCGCCACCACCACCGCCCCCGCCAGCTCCTCCAGCGCCCTTGCCCTTGCCGCTGCGGCGTCTCCCACTAGGGGCAGACGCATCACCGACCGACTCGGTGCCAACGAGGTCGACAGCAGTAGCAGAGGCAACAGAGGGCAAAAGGGGAACGGGGGAGCACCCCTCAAATAAGGGGGCACGAGGGTAACCACGAGAGGCTCCTACAGCGACTATACTCTTCTCAGCTGCAAGGAGGCACTCCTCGAGGAGGTCAACGGTGAATGTGGTGGGGCAAACAGAGAGGAAGTGGTCCGTGACCGAGCGGAGGGAGTCAGGGAGTCGGGTGACTAGGTACTAGAGGGTGATGTACATGGGGGGGGGTTCTTGGCGCAGAACTCAGCAGGAAGCGCAGCGCGGTAGCAGGTGTCACTAGTGCGGAGGTGCGTAATGAGGTCAGCGACTGTGGGAAAGGCGGCGAGGTCAGGGAACAGGTACGGCACCATGAGGCGACTAAGAGCAGCAGAGGCAGGGGAAGAGTAGCGTGCAACTACAACGTCGTACAAGGTCTTAGCACTCTTGTACTGACTAAAGTGCGCGCGCTCAGTGGACGGCAGGTGACTACGCACAGCAAGACGGGTAGCAGCATTGCGTGTGGTCCACTGTGAGCGAATAGTATTATCAGCATCGGCAGCAGGGGCAGCAGAGGCGCCAGACATGAGATCGAATAGTGAGAGACCGTCTTTGCGATCGGACTGTAGGAAAAGCTGCAGATCATCGACCCAGACCTCAAAGTCGACAGCTCGACCCTCAGCATAAAAGGTAAGCACATTGGGACTAGCCATGCTAGCAGCAGCAGCAGGCTAGCAGCAGCAGCGGCAGCGCGACTCGGCTAAAGGGGCGCGGCTTGGCAGGGCGCTTACCAGTGGCGAGTGGGTAGGGTGGCCGCGACTGGAGTGGCAGGGCCGAGGTGCGCCAGCAGGGTCGGGGCCGTAACTGGGCAGCAGGGCAGGGCCGCGGCTCGGCTGCAGGTCAGGGCTGGGGCAGCAGGGACGGCGACGGTAGCTGCTGCAGGGACGGCCGCTGTTGCAGGAACACCGACGACGGGGCGGCAGGGCGGCTACGGCGGGCCGCGAAGAGCCACGAAGGGGGGGGGGGGGGGGGGGCGAAGGAGGGGGGCGCGAAAGTGCCGCTAAGTGGCCTCGAAGGGGCCGCAAAGGGCCGCATAGGGGGGCCGCGAAGGGCCGGAAAGGGGCCGCGAAGAGCCGAGAGGGGGCCATGAAGGGCCGTGAAGGGGCCGCGAAGGGCCGTGAGGAGGCCGCGAAGGGCCACGAAGGGGACCGCGAAGGGCCTTAAGAGGGGCCGTGAGGGGCCGCGAAGGGGTCGCGAAAGGGCCGTGAAGGGGCCGCGAAGGGGCCGCTAAAGGGTTTCGTGAAGGGGGTCGCGAAGGGGCCACTAAGGGGCCGTGAAGGGGCAGGCCACTAAGGGGCCGCAAAATTTTAGGGCAGGACGCAAAGCGCGCTTCGAGCAAGCTAAAAAAAGTTTTCAAAGGTGGGCCCTAGGAAGAAACGGTCCCACTAGGGAACCCGCTCTATACCATGTGAAGAATGAGGAATGAATAAACTAGGAAAATGTTGGAGACAAATATCAAACCCTAGAAACCTGTACCCCTTAGTGTCTACCCCACTAGAGCCTACAAAGACTAAGTCATATTATCTGACACATTACGCTGCTGAGGGGCCCGACCTTGGAGTGGTGGCGCCAACTCATGCAAATTGCTGTAAGAAGGGCTCAGACAGACGGGCATCAACAGGGCGTGGGGCATGCAGCTGCAACTTCGAGCTTAGGGAGTTTAGCTTTGGGTGTTACCACGGTTCCGACCACATGGGAAGGATTTGAAGCGGCGCTGAAAAGTAGGTTCGACTTGGTGAACGCCTCGCTGCTAGGAAGCATCTGCGTCATTTCCGACAAATAGGAAACGCCCTTGAGTACACACGACGGTTCTTAAGCATCTACGACGAAATAGATGCCATCACGGAAGCAGAGATGCGCGATCCCTACCTCGAAGGGTTGAAGCCGGACATAGCGGAAGTTATAGCGATTCATGGGTTGTCCATCTTCAAGTCAGTTGACGCAGCCGCAGAACGCGTCGACGCAGTACGAAGCCGACGGGGTCGTGACGATCGGGATAGGGGATACAACAGACCGATCAACGATTCTCGATCGAGGGACGAACCGTCGCCCATGGGGATTGGTGCAGTTAGCAGTGACGGCTCACAGAAGACGGGTTTTAGGAGGAACTGTCACTACTGCAAAAAGCCGGGACACATGAAGCGGGACTGCCCACAGCTTAAGGAGCGGCAGCAAGGAAACGGAAACCGCTAGAAGATAGCGGGTCGCTAGCTGGTGTGGAGGCTTCCGTACCCGCCAAGTTTACCGAAGTAGAGGAGACAACTCTGGAGCAGTCATCTACGCCGAAATCGGTAGACGCTGTTGATCGTCCAGTCGTGCTTCTAGGGAAGCTTTGCGGTGTTCCAGTCAAGATTCTCATCGATAGCAGAGCTAGCCACTCATTCGTTTCGTCTTCATTAGTTAGTCGTCTCCATCTCGAAGCAGATTCGGCAGTCAACTTTAAGGACGCGCGTATGGTAGATGGGACGCCGCTTCACATAGGACCAGTCATTCGCAAGTTGCGCGTAGTGCTAGGACCGATCACGGTTAGGCGTGATTTCGACTCGGCGACGCTGGACGGTTACGACTTCATCTTCGGTAGAGATTGGTTGCGAGCGGTTAGTACTCAGTTCGATTGGGCTCAGGGAAGTTGCTGTCAGAATCCCAACCATAAGACCATTGGGATAAAAGGGCTTGTTTCAGTAGCGGGTCAGTGCGCCCATAACCCCCCAGGCGAACGCGCCTGTAACCCTCTCCAGGATCAATCGGGCATCCACAGTGCAGATCTACTGACACCCCCCCACACTGGGAGGCCCAGGACTAAGCATAGCGGCAACGGCCTACGTGTGCATACACCGGGAATCGAACCCGAGACCGCTCTGATACCATGTCAGAATCCCAACCACTAGACCATTGGGATAAAAGGGCTTGTTTCAGTAGCGGGTGAGTGCGCCCATAACCCCCCAGGCGAACGCGCCTGTAACCCTTTCCAGGATCAATCGGGCATCCATAGTGCAGATCTACTGACAGTTGCAGCGTCAAGGTAGATGGCGAGTTCCGGGAGCTGCCACAGTGGAGTGATGGGGCCACATCCTCCACAGCCATCATCAATGTTGTTCGTGTGCAGCAGCTGGTGAAGCGAGCATCACGGATCTTTGCGGTTTTCCTTGAGGAGGTGGAAGCTGAGGAGGGGAAAGGAGGGAGTGCAGCAGTTGGTGAGAAGGCGACTCTTCCTGCTGAGGTGAGTGCACTATTAGCAGAGTTCGCAGACGTCTTCCCAGACGAGTTGCCCCCAGGGTTACCTCCCAGCCGAGCAGTAGACCATCGAATAGAGTTGGAGCTGGGGAGCAAGCCAGTAGCAAAGCCGCAATGGAGGTTGAGTCCAGCGGAGACAGAGGAGATGACGCAGCAGGTTAGGCACTTTCTCGCACAGGGGTTCATACAGCCATCTAGATCGCTTCGGGCAGCATCAATCCTTTTTTAGCCTAACAAAGACGGAGGGTTACGGATACGCCGCCACCGTCAAGAATAGGTTCCCGGTGCCGAGAGTAGAGGATCTTCTCGATGCAGTGCAGGGCGCTAGAATCTTCTCCAAGATCGATCTTCGCTCAGGGTATCATTAGATTCGAGTAGTTCCAGAGGACCAGCACAAGACGGCTTTTCGTACAAAGCAGGGGTTGTACGAGTTTGGGGTTCTACCGTTCGGTTTGACCAACGCCCCAGCGACGTTTCAGACGCTCATGAACACAATCCTCTCCGAGTTCCTAGGGTGGCTTGTTGTAGTTTACCTAGACCACATCCTAGTCTTCTCCAAGACGAAAAAGGAGCACGTGCAGCACTTGCGGAAGGAGCAGTTGTATGCTAAGCAGTCGAAGTGCGAGTTCTTCCTTGCCGAGGTCGAGTTTCTAGGCCATGTCGTATCCGCTAGTGGCATTAGGACCGACCCGAAGAAGATCGCAGCAGTACAAGATTGGGTAGCACCGACCTCAGTCAAGGAGTTGCAGAGCTTCCTCGGTTTCGCGAACTACTACAGTCGTTTCGTTCAGGGTTACGCATCGATCGTTAGTCCACTCACCAACCTACTTCGGAAGGGCGTAGAGTACGTTTGGGGTCCATCGCAACAGCAGGCATTCGAGCAGATGAAGCAGTCGCTCACGTCTTCACCGACACTATCTTACCCTGATCCCACTCGCCCATACATTGTAGTGACCGACGCTTCAGATCAGGCCATGGGAGCAGTGCTTCTTCAGGATCAAGGACGCGGGTTGTAGCCGATTGCGTACGAGTCGCATAAGCTAAGGGGAGTAGAGTTGAATGATCCGATTCACGACAAGGAGGCGCTCGCGATCATCCATGTGTATAAAGTGTGGAGGTGCTACCTAGAGGGGGCAGATAGTGTGATACGCACGGACCATTGGTCGCTTCGCTTTCTCAAGTCACAACCGCAGCTGAGTCGTCGTCAGGCTAGATGGATGGAGTTCATGAAGGGGAGTTTCCACTACAGGATAGAGTATAAGCCAGGCGTGCGCAACCCAGCAGATCCGCTCACTCGCCCTTGTTGCCAGCTCGCTAGCCTCACAGTCACTACCAACCATCCACTACTCAAAGCACTCTTCCAGCACGGTTACACAGTAGATACCGACTTCACAGCGCAGCCACCCGCAGGAGCAGAGGTGCAGGGTAGTGTCTACATATGGAAGGGTACCACACGGATTTGGGTTCCAGCCTACCGCCCTCTTCGACAGCTCCTTCTCTCGGAGGCGCACGACGTAGTTAGTGCAGGTCACTTTGGAGCAGATAAGACGGCTAAGACGCTTAGTCGCACGTACTACTGGCCAGGGCTTGCAGCAGACGTAGAGGATTACATTCGCTCGTGCGACACGTGTCAGCGTACGAAGTCCTCTCGCCAGCGCAAAGCAGGACACTTGCAGCTGATTCCACCGCCCGACCGCCCTTGGCAGGTAGTCACCATGGATTTCATCATGGCTTTACCGCGCACAGTTAGGGGTCATGACGCCATCTTCATTGTAGTCGACAAGTTATCTCGAGCAGCGCACTTCATCCCCACGCACGGCAAGGTCACAGCAGAGGAAGCCACGACACTGTTCGTAGATAACGTAGTCCGACTGCACTGGGTTCCAGATTCCATCATCTCAGACCGCAACCCTCGTTTCACTTCGAAGTTCTTGAAGCAGCTTTTCGCACTATTTGGGACTCGCTTAGCCATGTCGTCTGCGTACCATCCAGAGACAGACAGACAGACCGAGCGTGTGAGCCAGACCTGGGAGCAGATTCTTCGCAGCATCACGATGCACGACGCAGCCGCATGGGACAAGAAGCTGAGCATGGCCGAGTTCGCCTACAACAACACGCACCACTCCGCCACAGGCATGTCACCATTCTTTGCACTGTACGGTCAGCACCCCAATGTCCCCACTCATGTCTATCTCACCCCCACTGTCCCTCGTGTGGACAACTTCCACCAGCATCTCACCTTTATTCATGATCACGTGAGGAAGCACCTTGAGCTCGCAAATGCACGCATGGCACGCACCACCAACCGCAGTCGTCGTGAGGTGTCGTTTGCAGTCGGCGATCGTGTTCTCTTGGATAGCCGCAACCTCCGACTGCCACAGGACAGCAAGCTTCGCCCTGGCTTCATTGGTCCATTCGTCATTGAGCGCACACTTGGTCCAGTCGCATGCCGCCTCCACCTCCCCGCTCATTTCCGCATGCACCCGTCATTCCACGTGTCGCTTCTTCGCCCTTAGACCGATCCCAACGCCACCTTCTCGGGTCGTGACCGCACTCCACTGCCAGTAGCTGTTGACACAGACGAGCCCGGCTACCAGATCCAGCGCATCATCAGGCACCGCTGCCGTCTCCAGGGGGGTGTCTCTTTCATCGACTTCTTGGTTCGTTGGCGTGGTTACGACGCAGCAAATGACAGCTGGGTTCCTTCGTCCTCACTGTCTCCCGACAACGCTTGCCTTCAAGCGTACCTTCAGTCTGCAGGCGCCGCGGACGTCGCTTCCTTGGGAGGGGGGTAGTGTTAGAGGGGTGTTTAGTGTTCCCTTTGAACAGTACTCCCAACCCCATCCTTATCCTTATCTTTTCAGATTGCCTAGTGCCACGTGGCACTCTACCTTTCTTGCTTCTACTTTCTAGTCCCGCAAAATACTTTCCGACATTCGACCTTGCATGCTATATCATCCTAGCTTGTATCCACCAATAGCAATCAATTCTCATTCAACTCTTCTTTAATTACTCAGTAACTTCTTCGCCTATTTTGCCAATAGTTCTTTCGCCAAAGTCTTCCGCCGCGTTTCATCCTCGATTTAGTCGACCCCGCTAATTCTTTAGCGGACTTAGGCCAGCGGGCCTAACACTAGCTATTCTGCTTGCGTGTATTCGTTGCCCTAAACTCTAGTTCTTCCCTATTCTGTGTGCGTGTATTGCGGGGCTCCGTTTCGTTATCTACTTCGGCTAGTACCGCGAAATTAGTCATGGTAACCAACGCGAACGCAGCACGCTTTTGCACAATGCTTCCGCGCAAATCGAATAGCTCAAACACGCAGTCAATCCGCAGCAGTTCCACCATTTGCTATCTACATAATCATCCATCTTCTGAATCTAGTTTTTTTAACTCGGCAGTTAATTTCTTGACGAGAAGTGAGAATGGAATGAATGAACTATGAAAGAGTTGGGTTCAAGTACTAACCCTAATTGGGTTGTACCCCTTATGGGCTACCCCACTACAGCCTACACAAATGTATAAGCTATAATGTTCTGACACACCCACATAGGCAAATTGGGGGAGAGCAAGTGGTCACAAGACCAGTCAAGCAAAGCAAAGCAAAGCAAGCTCAGGGTGGATCACAAAGTCACCACACAGTCCGAGCACAAGAGTAAGGCCACAAGGCCAGTTCACATGCAAGGTCATATATATAAAGGTAAAACATGCAAGGGCAGGTATAGAAAGAATACACGACAAACAAGATCAAGAAGTGAGCAAGTGAGGCTAGGTAGGCACAAGACCTAGCACAGTACAGAAGCGTTGATGATCACAAGGCGGAAGGGCCTTGGTGAATATATCAGCAGTGTTGGCCTCAGAGGCCACGTAGGTGAGGCGGAGCTGACCACACTGCTGCAGCTCATGAGACAGGAAGTAGCGGAGAGCAATGTGCTTCGTTCTGTGCTCCAGTGTGTGCTCCCGACACAAGGCCAGCATGGCCTTGTTGTCTACGTACAGAACTGGAGGAGAACGAGGCGGCTCTCCTAGGTCAGTCAGCAGGTAGGTGAGCCAGCGTAGCTCCTGTGCAGCCATGGCCCCTGCGTAGATCTCAGCCTCACAGCTGGAGCCGAGAACAGAGGACGAGCGGGTAGACCGCCACGAAACAGAGCCGGAACCAAGGCTTAAGGTGTAACCCTGTGACGACCGCTGCGTAGCCTGGTCGTCAGCCCAAGAAGCGTCAGCGTGACCTGTGAGGACTACTCGACGTCGCCCTCCAAGCACTAGCCCCATGCCCGACGTACTGCACACGTAGCGCAACACCCTCTTCGTTGCAGCCATGTGCTCTGGTCTGTGTCTCCCAGGAGCAACATAGCGTGCCAAGATGCTAACAGGGTATGCAAGGTCAGGTCGTGTGCAGGTCATCAGGTACATGAGGTAGCCGACAAGCTCTGGGTACGGGCCACTCGACTCTACGGACTCATCCGAAGGCAGAGCTGAGAGCGAGTGGCGAGTAGACAGAGGAGTGGCCTGAGGCGAGGAGTACGTGAAGCCGAAGCGCTGAAGGACCTGCTGCACCATGTGTGACGGAGTTAGGGTAATGGTGCGCTGTGCTCTATCCCAGGTGATCTGCAAGCCAAGGTAGCTGCGCAGTTCACCCAGGTCTGTGCACGTGTGTCTCTTCTGCAGCTCGGACTTCACGCGGACGAGTCCAGCAGTGTCAGCAGTGGCAAAGACCAAGTCGTCGACGTACATGAGGATGTAGAACGGCGGCAAAAAGGTGTCGGTGCGTAGAAACAGCGACAGGTCGGCTGTAGAAGGAGCAAACCCAAGAGCCGCAAGTGTAGTCCTCAGTGTGTCGTGCCACTCGCGGGGCGCCTAGCGGAGACCGTAGACTGGCCGCAGGAGGCTCCAATGGGTACCAGGAGGAAACGACCCAGTGAATCCTCGTGCAGGCTGCCCTGCAGGAAAGTTGTGCTGAAGTCAAGAGAGTGAAGCTCGTAGTCACGGTGAGCGGCTATGTGCAGCAGCACCCGAAGAGTGGTCATCTTAGGGGTGGGAGAGAAGGTCTGAAAGTAGTCAACTCCCCGCCGCTAACTGAAGCCTCGAGCCACGTAACGCGCATTGAAAACAGGCTGAGAGCCCGGGGACCGCTTCACCCTGAAAATCCACATCCCACTGACGATGTTCGCCCCAAGTGGGGGAACCTCGTCGACGTATGTGCCTGTGGACTTCGAGGAAGCCATCTCTGCATCCATAGCCGACTGCCACTGTGAGGAGTAGGGACTCTCGATCGCCTCAGCGTACGATCGAGGAGTCGGGATGTCTGGTGCATCCGGGTCTCCCTCAGAGGCAATCAGCGTGGACACGAGATGGGGAAAAGCAGCCGCAAAGCACTAGAACTCCTCCTGCATGTCCTCAAGGACGTCCGTGCTAAGAGCACACTCACCCCCGACGGACGGAGGACACACAGACTCAGACTCAGCAACAAGACTAGCAGCGTAGTCTAGACGACAGCGAGCAGCAAAGTCGACAAGCTCAGCAACTAGAGCAGACGCAATAGTGGACTCAAAGGAAGGGTCAGTGACAACAGTAGCAAGAAGGCGCGTGACCGAAGGACTAACAGCACGAAGGGAGTCAGACTCCGTGTTAGCAGGAGAAGGAAGAGAGAACTCTGGAGGAGACGGCAAAGGGACACGCAGAGGAGCGGTGGACGGACGCAGTGCCATCTCGTGTGTGCCGGGAACTGCAGGAGGAGGCGGACGCGCAGCACGACGACTAGTGCGAGCAGCACGAACAGGCGACGCAGGACGAGACGCAGGCTCACGACGCTCAGCAAGACCTCCAGTAGGACCAGTGTAGGGAGAAGGAGCAGGTAGCGGGGAGGCGGGCTGTAACTGTAACTGCGACTGGACAGGCTGTGGACACTCTAAGGGAGTAGCAGAACCAGGAGAGGGAGGGAGACCAAGAACCTGTTCCAGGAGCGGAACGAAGTACGGCATCGGCCGCTCAGCGCCTCCTGAACCACCAAGGACGGCACTAGTACCCCCAGCGGCAGCACCAGCGCCAAGAGAACCTCCAGCTCCAACAGCACCAACTCCAGTACCCTCAGAAGCACCAGCGCCAGCAGCACCGCCAACGCCAACACCCCCAGCAGCTTTAGCTCCAGCAGCACCAACTCCCGTAGGACTGTCAGCACCACCAGCCTCCCCAGACTCAGCAGCACGTCTCCAGCGGCGGGCGAACCACTCGCTCAGCTCCTGTGGAGAGAGCGGCTCCCGCCTCGACGAAGCACGGCCGGCGGCCACACGAGTAGACCCAGCACCCCCAGGCTCCGCACCCCCAGGCTCAGCACCCCCAGGCTCAGCACCCCCAGACTCAGCACCCCCAGGCTCAGCATCCCAAGTCTCAGCACCCGCAGGCTCAGCACCTCTAGCAGCACCAGAGTCAACAGCTATCTCGACAGGCTCGACTGCGTCTATCTGGGACACACCTGAAGGGGCAGGACCCTGAGGAGGGAGAGGGTCTACCTGGGTAGCACCTGGCGCAAGGAAGAGCGGCGGCGGGGGGAGGGGCGCAGTGCGGTAGGGGAAGAGACGGTAGTAAGGCACCGACTCGTCAAAGGTGATGTCCTGGGAGGACAGAACACGGCACGTGGTGGGGTGGTAAAACCGCCAGCCAGGCGCGTCGGGGGGGAAGCCAAGGAAGACACAAGGAACAGCACGGGTGGACAGCTTGTCCGCAGACAAGTCGCGGACAAACGCACGAGATCCCCAGACCCAAAACGCAGACACCTCGCCAACCTTCCCTGTCCACCGCAAGGCGGGGGAGGTCTCTGGCAAGGAGACCCGGGGCTGAAGGTTGAGCTGATGCGTGGCGTACTGAAATGCAAACGGCCACAGAAAATGGGGGGCAGCCGCATGCATTATGGACGTACGCACGACGTCCATGACCATGCCAATGCGGCGCTCAGCAATCCCATTTTGCTGTGGAGAGGCCAAAACGTGAAGGTCTAGCGGATGCCTTGTGCACGACACAAGGCTCCCAGACGGGCAGAGGAAAACTCTCCGCCTCTGTCCTAGTGCAGACGCAGAACAGGAAAGTCCGAGCCGAAACTCTCTCTGAGCTGGAGACGAGCTACGCGGATCCAGTCGATCAACACCTCAGTGACGTCACCCTTGCTGCGCAAGGGGAAGACTGTGGTGTAACGCGAGTAGTCGTCAACGACCAGCAGAAAGTACCGCTCTCTCCCTTGCCCACTGACGCGGGCTGGGCCCCACACGTCCATGTGTAGAGTCTGCAGCGGAGCCTCTGTCGGAGGAAACTCGTAGGAGTGAGGGGCGGCGCGCTGTCGCCCCTCGAAGCAGGGGACGCAGGTAGGGCCAGGCCCTTGAGGTAGGGGAGGGAGAGACCGAGGAAGACCAGAGACAAGGACACGGGAAGACATGCCTCGGAGACGAGGCAAGGAGGGGTGACCAAGGCGGTGGTGCTAAAGGAGAGTCTGGTGGGACAGCAGACGACACGAGCAGGGGGCAGACTCAGGATCAGACCTAAACGCCGCAGCAAACACCTGACTCGACGCAGCTACCTGGATAGACTCAGCAGTAGGAGGAGACTCAGCAGTAAGGGTGTACAGGCTCGACCCTGGCCGACGGGTGAACGTGGCCAAGTGTCGGCCTGTCCGAGCACACATGCAGTGGGTCACTCGCTGACTCGTAGGAGTGAACTGGTCATCCCCTCGATCCTGTAGGTCCGCTCCACTCACCAAGTTCGTAGAGAACGAGGGGAGGTAGAGACCAGACAGGTTGCCAGAGGGGGCTGCAGGGCACGGAAGGACAGTGGAGAAGCTAGCAAGGACAGGACCCCCAGAGGGGTCTGCCAGGGAGACTGCAACTGGCCGACTAAGCGGCGTAAGAGTGGTGCGGTCTCGAAAGAAGGAGCGGGACGCACCCGAGTCCAAGGTGAAGGTGTGGAAGGCCTAAGCCGACGTAGTACTTGAGAGAGCAGACTCACCAGCACCTGGGGCGGCAGACGCACTGGCACCTGGAGCAGCAGACGCACTAGCACCTAGAGCAGCAGCCTCACCAGCACCTAGCGCAGCAGCCTCAATGCCCGGGTCAGGCGGTACACACAGGTAACAGGCACCCTCAACACTATCAGCAACAGCATACATGGCAGCAAGGATAGCATCAAAGTCAAGATCAAAGATAGCAACCCCGGCCTTAGTCAGATCTCCCCAGCGAGGGATCTCTGACGCCTCAGGGAACTGGCGACGCCACGCGTTCGTCAGGCGACCAAAGCAGCGCTGGGTGGAGTGCGGACTTCCGCACTGCTCACCAGTGCGGTCGCCGGTACGGAGAACGTAAGAGAAGGGACCAAAACCCCCACCGCGCTGGCGTGCAGTGTACCACTCACGAAGCTGCTGAAGGGACAGTGTCACACCACTCCGCTGCTGCTGCTGGCGCTGACCACCACCGGCGCCACTCCTCGGTGCAGAGTCGCGACTCGCTCCACCACCGCTGCCTCCGCCGCCGCCGCCTCCGCCGCCTCCGCCGCCTCCTCCGCCTCCGCCTCCTCCACTACCTCCGCCGCCTCCGCTCCCTCCGCCACCTCCACCGCCTTCGCCGCCTCCACTGCTGCCGCCGCCGCCGCCACCCCCGGCACCACTCCCACCACCACTCCCACTCCCTCCACCGCCTCCACCACCACCTCCACCGCCCCCTCCAGCCCCACCAGTGCCCTTGCCCCCCTTGCCCTTGCCGGTGCGGCGTCTCCCGCTCGAGGCAGACGCAGCGCCGACCGACTCGAAACCAACGAGGTCGGCCGCAGCAGCAGAGGCAACAGAGGGCAAGAGGAGGGAGGGAGAACACCCCTCAAAGACGGGGTAGCGAGGGTCACCACGAGAGGCTCCTACAGCGACTATGCTCTTCTCTATCGCTAGGAGGGCCTTCTCGAGGAGGTCAACGGTGAGAGTGGTGGGGCAGACTGAGAGGAAGTTGTCCCTGACTACGCGTAGAGAGTCAGGGAGCCAGGTGACTATGTAGTAGAGGGTGATGTACATGGGGGGGGGGGGGGGGGGTTCTTGGCGCAGATTTCAGCAGGAAGCGCAGCGCGGTAGCGAGTGTCACTAGTGCGGAGGTGCGTAATGAGGTCAGCGACTGTGGGAAAGGCAGCAAGGTCAGGGAAGAGGTACAGTAGCATGAGGCGGCTCAGTGCAGCAGTGGCAGGGGAAGAGTAGCGTGCAACTACAGCGTCGTACAAGGTCTAAGCACTCTTGTACTGGCTAAAGTGTGCACGCTCAGTGGTCGGTAAGTAGCGGCGCACAGCAAGGTGAGCAGAAGCATCGCGCGTGGCCCACTGTGAGCAAACAGTGGCGTCTGCATCAGCACCAGGGGCAGGGGAGGCACCAGAAGTGAGGTCAAACAGGGAGAGGCCGTCTGCCCTATCGCACTGCAGGAAAAGCTGCAGATCATCTACCCAGACCTCAGAGTCCACTGCCCTACCCTCAGCGTCAAAGGTGAGAACGCTAGGGGAGGCCATAACAGCAGTAGGCAGGCAGTGAGTAAAGTGGGGCAGGGCAGTGCAGTGGCAGAGACTGTGCTCTTAATAGGCAAGAGGGGCGGTCGGGCGGCTCGGCGGTCGGGCGCCTCGGCTGCAGGGCGGCTCGGCTGCTGGGCGGCTCGGCTGCTCGGTGCTGGGCGACTCGGCGGTCGGGCGGCTCGGCTGCACGGTGCTGGGCGGCTCGGCTGTCGGGCGGCTCCGCTGCTGGGTGGCTCGGCTGCTTGGCGCCTCGGTTGCTGGGCGGCTAAGCGGTCGGGCGGCTCGATGGATGGGCGGCTCGAGCGGTCGGGCGGCTCAGCTGGCCGGCGGTTCGGCTGCTCGGCGCAGCTGGCGCTGGGCAGCGGGGTCGCAGGTGGTGGCGGGGCCGCAGGTGGCGGTGGGGCCTAAGGTGGCGGCGGGCCTCAAGGGTGGGCGGGGCTGCAGTGGGCGACGGGGCCGCAGTGGGCGGGGCCGCAGGTGGCGTCGGGGCCGAAGTGGGCGGGGCCGCAAGTGGCGACGGGGCCGCAGTGGGCGACGGGGCCGCAAGTGGCGACGAGGCCGCGGTGGGCGATGGGGCCGAAAGGGTGGGCGGGGCCGCAGGTGGCGACGGGGCCACAGGTGGCGGGGTCGCAGGTGGCGACGGGGCCGCAGTGGGCGACGGGGCCGCAAGTGGCGACGGGGTCGTGGTGGGCGACGGGGCCGCAGGTGGGCGACGGGTCCGTAGCGGGGCCGGAGCGGGGCCTAAGCTGGGCCGTAGCGGGGCCTAAGTGGGGCCGTAGCGGGTACAAGTACTAACCCTAATTGGGTTGTACCCCTTATGGGCTACCCCACTACAGCCTACACAAATGTATAAGCTATAATGTTCTGACATTTCGCAACGCGTTCTCACGCTGCGCTAATCTAGCTCAATCCGCTGCCAGTCGACAACTGTGTTGCTAATATCTACGTACAAATTATGCCTGCGATGCAAGTGTTTCAATGGCAATTTGCCGCCGCGACGTGATCCGTTTTGGTGAGAGCCTGCCGCTATAGGACGCGCAATGACGACTGCTGGAAACAGTTCCGTTCGATTCGGCGATATGCAAATCCCGCCCGTACCGGAGACCATGGCGGCGTGGCAGTACTTGAAGCACGGCAGCGGGGCTGATGCTCTCTCGGTGCGTTTCATTCGCCGCCCGAATCATCCGAGGCTCTTTCGTTTCCAGTAGTAGTAGTAGTTTTGCTACACCGAGTCAACTTTTGAGTCGACTCAAAATTCTTTTCTACACCTCATGAGCTTTCCCCTGCTTCGTCAGGCATCCTTCGTAAGCCCATAGGCACTCCATTCCGATGCCATCATTGCGCCGCGACAGAATTGCGCAAGTCCATACCCCACGACATAGTTCGCGTGCAGCTCACGATGCGCATCGTGATCTGATCTGAAGCATGACGCCCCGTCACAACTTGAATGACTGATTTTGGCATCAAGTTCTACGGGCTATGGTCACGCAGATGCCCCGTCATCTGCGTGCTGTTACGTGTCCTCCATCCCGTACGCCCCGCCGCGAATCTCGACTCAAAAGTTACCTCAATTACCGACACACTCAAGCTGTGTGAAGGCGAGGCGGTGGTTCGAGTGCATTCGGCGAGCCGCTTCACTTCAAATCCTTACCGAGGTTTCCTTATCCCCCTCCCCTTTGTGCTTCACCAGCTAAATGACAGCGTCCTAGCACACTATGTAAGGGCGAGATGCTGGTTCGCGCGCATGAGGAGGGAGTGTATTCATGAAAGTTTCTGCATTCCGAATCCCCTGCAATTCACTAGTTTGAGCAACAACGGCCTTGTCCGTGTAAGGGCGAGGTGATGTTCGCGTGCGCGCAGTGAGAAACTTCAACCTCAATAGCTTCTCCCCATCCCTCACTCGTTCTCACCCCACCAGTTGAATAAAAACTTCCGCGTGCCTGCGCCGAGCAAGGGCAAGGCGCTGGTTCGCATGCACATGACAAGCATCAACCCGGGGCGGCTGGTCGTGTGCAGTCGGGATTCCTTCTGCACCATTTCCCCGTCACCACTGGTGAGAAAGAGTGCAAGCAGCCGCAGGAGATGAAAGATTATAAGGAGGATTATCAGAAGCGCCGAATCTAATAGGTGCAATTTAATTTCATCTCCTTCTGGCCGCTGCGTTTCCCCACCACTGTGCATGCACTGATTTGTGTTCCCTTACCTGGCTCTGCGGTTCCCTTACCTGGCTCTGCGGTTCCCTTACCTGCCTCTGCGGTTCCCTTTCCTGGCTCTGCGGTTCCCTTTCCTGGCTCTGCGGTTCCCCCCTCTGGTGGTGACGACCTGCATGCATTCCTTTCCCTCCGCCTTGTCATTCACCCTTCTCACTACCCACTCGAGTCAGGATTTATTGATAGATTTTCCTGACCTACCTTTGATTGTTGTTCATGCAGGGTACGACCTCGCAGGCAACACATTGTCGTTTTTGGAAGGGCGCCGTTCTTTGTACGTTCCGTAACCACCACATTGCTTTATTCTTTGTTCGTCCGCTCTCATCCACTGCGCTGCACCTCTCTCCACCACTCTGCATCGCATCCCTCTCCTTATGGCATGTATGCGGCCACTTGCCTTTTGACTGCGGACAATGTCTGAACCACAAGCTCAACCACATGTCTGAACAATGTTTGGTGTTTTCACCACCGCATCTGTCTGCTTCTCTCCCATACACTTCCTCTCTGGCCCCACTCTCGTTCACTATGCAGTCCTCAACCAGCACGCCTCTTACTTGCTTTCCCTTCTCATTTGCATTCCTCATACCCCTTCTGTATTCTCACTCCTCTTCTCCCAAACGATGGGCGCCCTGGTGCAATACGCCCTACTGGAAACTGTCCTCAGTGCGCGCAAGCCCTCCTCCCTCACCTTCGAGTCTGCCGCTGCTCTCCCTGTCGTCGGCCTCACTGCCCTGCAAGCCATGAGGGACTGCGCCAGCCTTCCCCTCCAGGTAACCAAACCGGGTGCAGATAGCAGTGGTAAAGGCGAGAGCACCAGCACAAGCAGGAGCGACAGCAGCAGGTGCAGCGCACGATTCCTGGTGGCGAATATGTCAGGGGGAGTGGGGCATCTGGCAGTGCAGCTGGCTAAGGCAGCAGGGGCACAACTGCCACTCTCGGCGCTCATAACCTCGCCTTTGCACAGAACGTGCTTGGAACAGACGAGCTGTTTGATTACAACTCCGCTGCAGAGAAACAGCTCTACGATTTCTCATCCCCATCCCCTGCGCTGCACAGGTTTCTTCATCTGCCAATCCGCCTATCTCTGGGCAGTATTATGTGGTGATTGATTCCTCCTCCAATAGCCTGGCTGTCTCCGCTGTGAGCAGGGTTCTCCGTCCCCAAGGGAGGTGGGTGCATGTGGAGCTTCCGCCCTCTCTGCTCGCTCTGGGACTCTGGCGCCGCCTTGCGCTTCGCCCGAAGAAACTTTATCCTGCTATGATGGCGAACAGGCAGGGTGATTTGGAGGTGCTGGGGAGGATGGTGGAGGAGGGGAAGGTGAGGGTGGTGGTGGAGAGTAGTGTGGCGTTTGAAGAGGCGAGAGAGGCGTGGAGGAGGAGCATGGGAGGGTATGTGACGGGAAAGGTGGTGGTTAGGAGGATGGAGTGAAGGGCTACAAAGGTTACAGCTAGAGAAATCAGTCGCATGAATGTATCTTTTATGGTACCTTAGTTGAATTCTTCAATTGACTTCCAGAAAGCAATCTGTTTATCAGGCTAGCCCACTAACCACCCTTTATGTGAAACAAGTTATTATGAACCACCCCATGAAGGAGCATACATATAAAACTGATAGGAGTGCATACAAGTAAATCTGCACCTCATACTCCCCTCTCACAAACCCACTCCCCCGCTACCCATTCCCTTTCCACTAACCCACTCTGGTCCCACCCCCCTCCCACCCGCTACCACCTAACGTTCAGCCAGTCTCATGCTCAAAAGCACCTTCACCCCACTGCTGGCGCCAGCTTGCTTTCGACAGCCACTTATGAATTATGTCTTCCTCACGCTCTCTACTTGCCTACTTAGCCTCGGCCATGAGCTTCTTGAAGTTGGTCTTGCTCGAGTACAGCGTCTGCGGCTTCCAGTCGGCGGGAAGGACCTTGTCGAGAGTGATCTTCTCGAGGGTGTGTCCCGCAGTCAGGCGAACGCTCACCGCCTTCTTCGCGCCCACAACCTCCTTCGCCTCCTTGCCCTTGATCCCCCAGATCGCCTTGCTGCCGTCTCGCGTCAGCTTCGCCCACTTCTTGCCGTCCGCGCTAATCTCGACCTCTTTGAGCGTACCGGGGCCGGCGAGACCCACCATCTGAATGTTGAAATCCTCTGCCGTCGAATTGCGGCGCACGCGCACCGCGGATCCGAGGGTCGAGTGGCAGTTGGTGCGCTTGTACGTGATGCCGACGGGGGTGGCAACGGATCCCTGCACGATCTTGGACCACGACACGGGGGAAAGCGAAATCTCCTTCTCCGTGGTCGTCGCGCCAATGACGCGGACCGTCACGGTCGCCTTGCCGCTGCGGCAGTGCTTCGTGTCGTTGGCGCAAGTCACCTTGTAGCACGCGCCGCAGCGCTTGCCGAAGATGGCGGGAGGAAGCTTCACGGTGAGCCCCTTGCCAAAGTAGGGGTTGGCGGTGTAGTTTGCGTAATAGGCGCAGGTGGAGTCGTTTCCTAGCCCCGAGCTCTTGCTCTGCCTCGCCGTCGCCGCCACGGCACGCGTGGTTGCGTTTGCAGAGCCAATCGCGCCAGCAGCAACCCCCTTAGCATAAGCAGTTGAGTTGGCAGGCTTAGTCGCGTTGGCAGGCGCAGTCGCGTTGGCGGGTTTCCCGGCGGCAGAGACGCGCGCAGGGGCGGAAAGGAGCACTGCAGAGGCGATGACGACTACGAGGAAAGTCACGGCCTTAGCGGGTGTGTGGCTGAAGAGAGTCATTCTCGCTTCGTGTGTATCAATCGAGGCTAAAACTGTCGAGCTGGTGCTATGATTAGACAGCTTTGAAAAGCAGAGGGTACTGATGATATGAAATTGCTGATGAGATGAGCGGCAGTGGTGGTTCCTTTTATAACTGCATTTCTGCTGTGTCGAGGGATGGCACCATGTGTCGCGGGCAATTGACTTGGTCGTACTTTGGTCTCAGCAGTACGAGTCGCCAAGGGAGTCACACCAACATTGTTACGAGTAATTGCGGATTCAGTGCGGGGGGTGGCGAGCTAGCGACGGTCGGCAGCAAGTTCGCGATTCATCCCGAGTGTTCGCGAATACTGGATACGGAATCGTTCAGAGTTTTACGAATCATAATTGTGACGGAAACATACTGGAGAGATTGATTTTCCTGCGCATGCGACGGCGCGATAGGCGCGAAGCCTTGGGGTGGTGTGATGATTGACTGTACTCGTTTCGACGACCCATTATTACCACGGATTGTGCATACTACAACATCAATTCCAATCGTTAAGATGGCCTAGAATGCTCACACAGCTTATGTCAGGCAATTTCTTGAGTTTTGTAAGGAAAATTCATTTTCTTTACTTCACGCCCCTGCTTATTGCGAGCATGACTGTTCCCGCCAACAGTACCCAACTGTGCACCGTTACCACTCGCTATACCCGTCTCGACTACTGTTCCCGCCACTGTTCACGACGAAACCCAACTTCATGGTTTGGTTGGTAACCCGCGCTTCGGGCCTCCGCCTTGACATTTCCCAACCTCGGCGCTAGGCCCGTAGCGCACCCCAATTTCTTGCTTTACAGTTACCACGCTAGCTTCGCTATTGTTATGAGTTGTACGAAAAAAAAGTGCGTAGAATGCAATATCGCGAAAGTGATTACAACTACTGAGCAAACAACGAGGCCTAGGCATAATATAGCAAAGCTAGCTAGGCCGAGGTCGCGAAGTCGCGCGAAGGTTGAGTGCAGGATTGGGGTTGGGAAACCTGAAGGCGACGCGAAGGACGTTCGGAAGGCGAGGTCGTACGGAGTGCCTCATTAAGGAATCAGGAAAATTCCTTACACTACCCCCCCCCCCCCCCCCCCCCCCCCCCCCCTCCTTTAACAAAGGTGGTCAATATCAGGCACGCGTCGGCAGAAAAGATAATACTGAAGCACCGAGTGGCCTTGTAGTGAGTCGGCCGGGACCCACGTGTCATCTTCGCTTGTGCGATCCACCCATCGCAGGAGAAGGTCGACGTGACAACCAGCCGGGGTCGCACGAATGCGATGATTCAAAGTCTTCCAAGGCTAGAGTGTTGGGTCTGCCACAGGCCGGACACTTGGCACGATGTTGGGTCAAGCGACGTTGGACGGCTGTGGAGCCACTAATGACGGAGCAAGCTGACGTGGAAGGCATAATGGATTTTCCATTCGTCTGGTAGGAGGAGTTTCGCTATGACCGGGGTCAGCATCCGAATGATGCGGAAAGGGCCCACGTAGCGGGGGCGCAGTTTTGCAGGCTGGGGCAGTCGAAGATTTCTCGTATCCAAAAGGACCATCTGCCAATCACGGAAGGGTAAATTTTGTCGATGTCGGTCGGCGTAGCGGCTGGCGTTAGTATTATTCATCCGTACAAACTCGACTGCTTTGCTGCGTGCTGCTTGAAGTTCGGAGACGAACTGCTGCGACCAAGGTACCGGGTTGTCGGGAGTCGTGGAAGAGCGTACCACGGGGTCTATTCCGTAATTGAGGAAGAACGGTGACTGATTGGTCGTCGCACACGGGGCGTTGTTGTACGCAAATTCGAGCAACGGAAGCGAATCCTCCCACTTGGTGATGTCGAGGAAGTTCGTGCGAATCAACTGCTCCATCGTCTGGTTCGTCCTCTCTGTCTGCCCGTCGGTTTGCAGGTGGTAAGAAGACGAGAACTGCAAGCGGGTGCCGTACTGTGCCCACGTTTCCTACCAGAACTTCGACGTGAACTTCGGGTCCCGATCGTTGATGATCGCCGAAGGTAACTGTGAGAATAAGAACGAGGAGTGAATGAATTAGCAAGCAGGTGGGTACAAGTATGAAAACCTAAAAGAGTTGTACCCCATATTGTCTACCCCACTGCAGCCTACAATATAGTTCTCACACCCCCATAGGCAAAGTGGGGGACAAACAAGAGAACAAGGCAAGGTCAAGCTCAGGGTGGATCACAACGTCACCACACATTCTGAGCACCTGTTCAAGGCCACAAGACCAGTTCACATGCAGGATTATACTGCAAGGTGAACAAGCAAGACAGTGATCTCAACCTAGCAAGGGTAAGCATGCAGGTGCAGGTATATATGGATCCAGTACAAAAAAAGTCAAGAGGTAAGCAAGTGAGGCCCGGTAGGCACAAGACCTAGCATAGTAAAGAAACGCTGATGATCACAAGGCTGAAGGGCCTTGGTAAAGATATCAGCATTGTTGGCTCGAGAAGCCACGTAAGCAAGACGAAGCTGACTACGCTGCTGCAACTCTCCAGCAAGGAAGTAGTGCAGAGCAATGTGCTTTGTTCTGTGCTCTAGTCTGTGCTCCCAGCACAAGGCCAGCATGGCCTTGTTGTCGACGTGCAGAACTGAAGGAGAACGAGGCGCCTCTCCCAAGTAGGTTAGCAGGTAGGCGAGCCAACATAACTCTTCTGCAGCCATGGCCCTAGAAGGACGGAGGACAAACAGAGGAGTGGTCTGAGGCGAGGAGTACGTGAAGTCGAAGCGCTGAAGGACCTGCTGCACCATGTGTGACTGAGTCAGGGTAATGGTGCGCCGTGCTCTGTCCCGGGTGATTTGCAAGCCAAGATAGCTGCGCAGTTCACCCAGGTCTGTGCATGTGTGTCTCTTCTGCAGCTCAAACTTCACGTGGGCGAGTCCAAGAGTGTCAGTAGTAGCAAAGACTAAGTCGTCGACGTACACGAGGATGTAGAACGACGGCAGCGAAGTGTCGGTGCGTAGAAACAGCGACGGGTCAGCAATAGAAGTAGCAAACCCAAGAGACGCTAGCGTAGTCCTCAGTGTGTCGTGCCACTCGCGGGGAGCCTGGCGGAGACCGTAGACTGGCCGTCGGAGGCTCCACTGGGTACCAGGAGGAAACAACCCAGTGAAGCTCCTAGTCGCGCTGAGGCTATGTGCAACAGCACCCGAAGATTGGTCATCTTCGGGGTGGGAGAGAAGGTCTGAAAGTAGTCAACTCCCTGCCGCTGTCTGAAGCCTTGAGCCACGTAACGTGCCTTGAAGACAGGCGGAGAACCCGGCGGCTGCTTCACCCTGAAAATCCACATGCCATCGACAATGTTCACTCCAGGTGGGGGAACCTCGTCAACGTAGGTGCTTGTGGACTTCCAGGAAGCCATCTCTGCGTCCATGGCTGACTGCCACTCAGAGGAGTAGGGACCCTCTATCGCCTCTGCGTAAGAGCGCGGGGTCGGGATGTCTGGTGCATCCGGGTCTCCCTCAGGTGCAATCAGCATGGACACGAGATGACGTACAGCGGCTCCAAAGCACTCAAAGTCCTCCTGCTTGTCCTCAAGGACGTCCTTGCCAAGAGAACACTCACCCTCGACGGACGGAGGACAAACAGACTCAGACTCAGCAACAAGACTCGCGGCGTAGTCTAGACGACAGTGAGCAGCAAAGTCGACAAGCTCAGCAACTAAGGCAGACGCAGTAGTGGACTCAAAGGAAGGATTAGTGACAACAGTAGCTAGGAGACGCGTGATAGTAGGACTGGCAGCACGAAGGGAGTCAGACTCCGGGTCAGCAAGATCAGGAAGAGAGGACGCAGGAGGAGACGGCAAAGGGGCACGCAGTGGAGCAGTGGAAGGACGCAGTGCCATCTGGTGCGGAACACGACGACCGGACTTGAGGAGGACTAGGGCGACCAGCATGAACAAGCGACACAGGACGAGACTCAGGCTCACGACGCTAAGCAAGACCTCCAGTAGGACCAGTGTAGTGAGGAGGAGCAGGCATTAGGGAGGCGAGCTGTAACTATGACTCGGACGGGACAGGCAGTGGACCCTCTAAGGAAGGAGAAGGACGAGAAGAAGGCGGGAAACCAAGAACTTGCTGAAGGAGTGGAACGAAGGACGCCCGCGGCCGCGCAGCGCCTCTAGAACCAGCAGGGATAGCACCAGCATCCCCAGCGTTAGCACCAACGCTAGCAGCACCACCAGCTCCAGGAGCACCCCCAGTAGCTCCAGCAGCGCCAACTCCAGCATCCCCAGACGTACCAGCTCTAGCAGCACCTCCAGGGGGGGGACACACCTGAGGGGGCAGGACCCTGAGGGGGGAGGGGGTTTACCAGGGGGGGACATGGCGCGAGGAAGAGTGGCGGGGGGGGGGGGGGGGGGGGGGGGGGGGGAGGAAGGGGGGCAGCGCAATAGGGGAAGAGACGATAGTACGGAACCGACTCATCAAACGTGAGGTCCTGGGAGGACAAAACACGACGCGAGGTGGGGTGGTTAAACTTCCAACCAGGCGCGCCAGGGGGGAAGCCAAGGAAGACGCAGGGAACAGTACGAGAGGGCAGCTTGTGCGAAGATAATTCTCGGACGAAAGCCCGAGATCTCCAGACACGGAACGCAGACGCATCGCCGAACTTCCCAGTCCACCGCAGGGTGGGGGAGGTCTCCGACAAGGAGACCCAGGGCTGAAGGCTGACCTGCTGCGCCGCGTACTGAACCGCGAACGGCCACAGAAAATTGGGAGCAGCCGCATGGATCATGGACGTACGAGCGACGTCCATGACCATGCCAATGCGGCGCTCAGCAATCCCATTTTGCTGTGGAGAGGCGAGAGGGGTGAACGTCTGGCGGATGCCCCTCGCACGGCACAAGGCTCGCAGAAGGTCGGAGGAAAATTCTCCACCTCTGTCGGAGTGCAGACGCAGAACAGGAAAGTCCGAGCCGAAACTCTCTCTGAGCTGGAGACGAGCAACGCGGATCCAGTCGATCAACACCCCGGTGACCTCACCCTTGGTGCGCAAGGGGAAGACTGCGGTGTAAAGCGAGTAGTTGTCAACCGCCAAGAGGAAGTAACGCTCGTGACCCTGTCCAAGGACGCGGGCTGAGCCCCACACGTCCATGTGAAGAGCCTGCAGCAAATCCTCTGTCGGCGGAAACTCGGAGGAGTGAGGAGCGGCACGCTGCTGCCCCTCGACGCAGAGGGAGGCCCCCGAGCAAGGGGAGGGAGGGACCGGGGGAGACCAGAGACAAGGTAACGGGAGGCCATGCCTCTGAGACGAGGCAGGGAGGGGTGACCAAGGCGGTGGTGCCAGAGGAGGGTCTGGTGGGACAGGAGGCGACACGAGCAGGGGGCAGACTCAAGACTAGACCTCGACGCTGCAGCAAACACCTGACCCGACGCAGCTACCTGACGAGACGCAGTAACTAGAGGAGACTCGGTAGTCAGTGTGTACAGGCTTGACCCCGGTTGACATGTAAACGTGGTCAAGTGTCGGCCCGTCCGAGCACACGTGCAGTGGGTCACCCGCTGACTCGCAGGAGTGAACTGGTCAACTCCCCCATCCTGCAGGTTAGCTCCACTCACCAAGTTCGTAGAGAACGAGGGGAGGTAAAGACCTGACAGGGAGCCGGATGGGGCCGCTAAACACGGTAGTACAGCGGAGAAGTGGGCAAGGATTGGACCCCCAGAGGGTCTGCCAGGGAGATCGCAGCCGGCCGACTGAGCTACATGAGGGTGGTGCGGTCTCGAAAGAAGGAGCGAGAAGCACCCGAGGCAAGGGTGAAGGTGTGCAAAGCCTTACCAGACGTGGTACCTGAGAGAGCAGACTCACCAGCACCTGGAGCAGCAGACTCACTAGTACCTGGAGCAGCGGACCTGCGAGCACCTAGAGCTGCAGCTGCAATGCCCGGGTCAGGCGGAACTCATAGGTAACAGTCACCCTCATCACTAGTAGTCACAACATAGATGGCAGCAAGAATAACATCATAGTCAAGATCAAAGATAGCTATACTCAACTTGAGCAAATCACCCCAGCGAGGGATCTCAGAGGCGTCAGGGAATTGGAGACGCCAGGCGTCAGTCTGGCGGCCAAAGCAGCGCTGGGTGGTGTGCGGCCCGCCGCACGGCTCCCCAGTGCGGTCACCAGTACGCAGGACGTAGGCATAGGGACCAGCACCCCCAGACGGCTGCTGGGGTGGCAGGGTCTCACGAGAGCGCTGCTGCTGCTGACGCTGGCCACCACCGAAGCCTCCCCGCGGCACAGAGCCACCCCGAATAGCGCCACCGCCATCGCCGCCTCCTCAACTCCCACCGCCACCGCCGCCGCCGCCTCTGCCGCCGCCACCAGAGCCCCCTTTCCCGCCACCACTCCCACCGCCACTCCCACCCCCTCCGCCCCCCCAACCGCCACCACCACCTCCCCCGCCCGCTCCCCCAGCGCCCTTGCCCCCAGTGCCCTTGCCGTAGCGGCGCCTCATGCTAGGGACAGACGCAGCGCCGACTGACTCGGTGCCAACGAGGTCGACAGCAGCAGTAGAGGCAACAGAGGGCAAAAGGGGGACAGGGGAACACCCCTCAAAGAAAGGGGCACGAGGGTCATCACGAGAGGCTCCTACAGCGAGTATACTCTTCTCAACTGCAAGGAGGCGCTCCTCGAAGAGGTCAACGGTGAGTGTGGTGGGCAAAACAGAGAGGAAGTGGTCCCTGACCGAGCGGAGGGAGTCAGGGAGTCAGGTGACTAGGTAGTAGAGGGTGATGTACATGGGGGGAGGGGGGGGGTTCTTGGCGCAGAACTCAGCAGGAAGCGCAGCGTGGTAGCGGGTGTCACTAGTGCGAAGGTGCGTAATGAGGTCAGCGACTGTGGCAAAGGCGGCGAGGTCCGGGAACAGGTACGGCAGCATGAGGCGACTAAGGGCAGCAGTGGCAGGGGAGGAGTAGCGTGCAACTACAGCGTCGTACAAGGTCTTAGCAGTCTTGTACTGGCTAAAGTGCGCACGCTCAGTGGACGGCAGGTGACTACGCATAGCAAGACGGGTAGCAGCATCGCGTGTGGTCCATTGTGAGCGAACAGTATTGTTAGCATCGGCAGCAGGGGCAGTGGAGGCGCTAGACGTGAGATCGAATAGTGAGAGGTTGTGTTTGCTTTTCGGACTGCAGGAAATGCTGTAGATCATCTATCCAGACCTCAAAGTCTACCGCTCGACCCTCAGCATCAAAGGTAAGAACGTTGGGACTAGCCATGTCAGCAGTAGCAGCAGGCTAGCAGAAGAAGGGGCGCAGCTCAGCGGTGCGCTTACCAGGGGCGGGTTGGTAGAAGCTCGCAAGTGGTGGGGCAGGGCCGAGGTGCGCCGGCAGGATCGGGGCCGCGACAGGGCGGCAGAGGAGGGCTGCGACTCGGCTGCAGGGTAGGGCCGGGACGGCGGCTGCGGCTGCGAGGAACGGTGGCGGCCGCGACGAACGGCGGCGGCGGCTGTCACGACAGCAGCAGCGGAGGTTGTCTCAGCAGCAGCGGCGGCAGCTGACACGGCAGGAGCGGCGGCGGCTGTCATGGCAGCAACGGCGGCGGTTGTCACGGCAGTAGCAGCGGCGGCGAACGGCCGTGGCGGAAGCGGCAGTGGCAGCAGGCGCGACGGCAGCTGCTGCTGGGGCAACGACGACGGGGCGGCAGGGCCGCGAAGAGCTGCGGAGGGGCCGCGGAGGGGCCGCGAAGGGGCCGCAAAGGGCCGCAAAGGGCCGCGGAGAGGCCGCAAAGGGCCAAGAGGGGGGCCGCGAAGGGTCGCGACGAGGCTGCTGAGGGCCGTGAGGGGGCCGCGAAGGGCCGCGAAGGGGCCGCGAAGGGCCGTGAGGGGGCCGCGAAGGGCCGCGAAGGGGGGGGGCGCGAAGGGCCTTAAGAGGGGCCGCGAGCGGTTGCTAAGGGGTCGTGACAGGGGCCGTGAAGGGACCGCGAAGGGGGCCACTAAGGAGGCCGCGAAGGGGCCATGAAGGGGCCGTTAAGGGGCAGGCCACTAAGGGGCCGCGAAATTTTAGGGCAGGACGCGAAGCGGGCTTCGGGCAGGCTAAAAAAATATTTCGAAGGTGGGCCCTTAGGAAGAAACGGTCCCACTAGGGAACACGCTCTATACCATGTGAAGAATGAGGAATGATTGAACTAGGAAAATGTTGGATACAAATATGAAACCCTAGAAACCAATACCCCTTAGTGACTACCCCACTAGAGCCTACAAAGACAAAGTCATATATATCTGACATGATGCGCCGCATACTGAACCGCGAATGGCCATAGAAAATGGGGAGCAGCCACATGGATCATGGACGTACGAGCGACATCTATAACCATGCCAATGTGGCGCTCAATAATCCCATTTGTGAAAGAACGAGGAATGAAATGACTAGGAAACAAGTAAGTGCAAGTAGGAAACCCTAGAAATGTTGTACACAAATGTATAAGCTATAATGTTCTTACACACCCCCATAGGCAAAGTGGGGGAGAAAAAGAGGTCACAAGACCAGTCAAGCAAAGCACAGCAAGCTCAGGGTGGATCACAACGTCACCACACATTCCGAGCACAAGTTCAAAGGCCACAAGGCCAGTTCACATGCAAGATTATATATAAAGGTAAACAAGCAAGTGCAGGTATAGACAGATCACAGAACAAGCAAGGTCAAGAAGTGAGCAAGTGAGGCCAAGTAGGCACAAGACCTAGCATCATACAAAAGCGCTGATGATCACAAGGCGGAAGTGCCTTGGTAAAGATATCAGCAGTGTTGGCCTGAGAGGCCACGTAAGCAAGGCGCATCTGACCATGCTGCTGCAGCTCACGAGCAAGGAAGTAGCGAAGAGCAATGTGCTTCGTTCTGTGCTCCAGTCTGTGCTCCCGACACAAGGCCAGCATGGCCTTGTTGTCTACGTACAAAACTAGAGCAGAACGAGGCGGCTCTCCCACGTCAGTCAGCAGGTAGATGAGCCAGCGTAGCTCCTGTGCAACCATGGCCCCCGCGTAGATCTCAGCCTCACAGCTGAAGCTCAGAACAGAAGACGAGCGCGTAGACCGCCACGAAACAGAGCCGGAACCAAGGCTGAAGGCGTAACCCTGTGACGATCGTTGCGTCGCCTGGTTGTCAACCCAAGAAGCGTCTGCGTGACCGGTGAGGACCACTGAATGCCGCCCTCGAAGCACTAGCCCCATGCCCGACGTACTGCACAAGAAGCGCAACACCCTCTTCGCTGCAACCATGTGCTCTAGTCGGTGTCGCCCAGGAGCAACATAGCGTGCCAAGATGCTAAGAGGGTATGTGAGGTCAGGTCGAGTGCAGGTCATCAGGTAGATGAGGCAGCCAACAAGCTCTGGGTACGGGCCACTCGGCTCTACGGACTCATCTGAAGGCAGAGCTGAGAGCGAGTGGCGAGTAGACAGAGGAGTGGCCTGAGGCGAGGAGTACGTGAAGTCGAAGCGCTGAAGGACCTGCTGCACCATGTGTGAGTGTCACAGGGTAATGGTGCGCTGTGCTCTGTCCCGGGTGATCTGCAAGCCAAGGTAGCTGCGCAGTTCACCCAGGTCTGTGCACGTGTGTCTCTTCTGCAGCTCGGACTTCACGTAGGCGAGTCCAGCAGTGTCAGCACTGGCAAAGACCAAGTCGTCAACGTACACGAGGATTTAGAACGGCGGCAAAGAGGTGTCGGTGCGCAGAAACAGCGACGGGTCGGTAGTAGAAGGAGCAAACCCAAGATCCGCAAGTGTAGGCCTTAGTGTGTCGTGCCACTCACGGGGCGCCTGGTGGAGACCGTAGACTGGCCGCTGGAGGCTCCACTGGGTACCAGGAGGAAACGACCTAGTGAAGCCAAGTGGGCGGCGCACCCAGATCTCCTCGTGCAGGCTGCCCTGCAAGAAAGTTGTGCTGAAGTCAAGAGAGTGAAGCTCGTAGTCGCGCTGAGCGGCTATGTGCAGCAGCACCCGAAGATTGGTCATCTTCGGGGTGGGAGAGAAGGTCTGAAAGTAGTCAACTCCCTGCCGCTGACTGAAGCCTCAAGCCACGTAACGCGCCTTGAAGACAGGCGGAGAGCCCGGCGGCCGCTTCACCCTGAAAATCCACATGCCACTGACAATGTTCGCCCCAGGTGGGGGAACCTCGTCGACGTAGGTGCCTGTGGACTTCCAGGAAGCCATCTCTCCGTCCATGGCTGACTTCCACTGTGAGGAGTAGGGACCCTCGATCGCCTCAGCGTACGATCGAGGAGTCGGGATGTCTGGTGCATCCGGGTCTCCCTCAGGGGCAATCAGCATGTACACGAGATGAGGCAAAGCAGCAGCAAAACACTGTAAATCCTCGTGCCTGTCCTCAAGGATGTCCGTGAGGGGCGGCGCGCTGCCGTCCCTCGACGTAGGGAACGCAGGTAGGGGCAGGCCCCGGAGGGAGGGGAGGGAGGGACCGGGGTAGACCAGAGACAAGGTAACGGGAAGCCATGCCTCGGAGAAGAGGCAGGGAGGGGTGACCAAGGCGGTGGTGCCAGAGGAGAGTCCGGTGGGACAGGAGACGACACGAGCAGGGAGCAGACTCAGGACCAGACCTGGATGCTGCAGCAAACACCTGATCCGACGCAGCTACCTGACCAGACTCAGCAACCGGAGGAGACTCAGTAGTCAGTGTGTACAGGCTCGACCCCGGCTCGCGGGTAAACGTGGCCAAGTGTTGGCCCGTCCGAGCACACGTACAGTGGGTCACCCGCTGACTCGCAGGAGTGAACTGGTCAACCCCCCCATCCTGTGGATCAGCACCACTCACCAAGTTCGTAGAGAACGAGGGGAGGTAGAGACCTGATAGGGCGCCAGAGGGGGCCCCCGGACACGGTAAGACAGTGGAGAAGTGGGCAAGGACAGGACCCCCAGAGGCGTCCGCCAGGGAGACCGCGACTGACCTACTAAGTGGCATAAGCGTGGTGCGGTCTCGAAAGAAGGAGCGGGAAGCACTCGAGTCAAGGGTGAAGGTGTGTAAGGCCTGAGCCGACGGGGCACCTAAGAGAGCAGACGCACCAGTACTTGGGGCAGCAGACGCACTAGCACCTAGAGCAGCAGCCTCACCAGCACCTAGAGCAGCAGCCTCAATGCCTGGGTTAGGCGGAACACACAGGTCTCATCACTAGTAGACACAACATACATGGCAGCAAGAATAGCATCATAATCCAGATCAAAGATAGCAACCCCCGACTTAAGCAGCTCGCTGTAATGGGGGGTCTCAGAGGCGTCAGGGAACTGGAGACGCCAAGCGTCAGTCATGCGGCCGAAGCAGCGCTGGGTGGTGTGCGGGCCACCGCACGGCTCACGAGTGCGGTCGCCGGTATGCAGGACGTGGGCACAAGGACCAGCACCCCCACCTCGCTGACGCGCAGCGTACCACTCACGAAGCTGCTCGGGGGGCGGGGTCTCACGAGTGCGCTGCTGCTGCTAGCGCTGACCACCACCGAAGCCGCTCCGCTGCGCAGGGCCACCTCGACCAGCTCCACCTTCGCCGCCGCCACCTCAGCCACCGCCGCCACCGCCTCCTCCTCCGCTCCCACCGCCACCGCCGCCGCCGCCTCCGCCTCCACCGCCGCCACCGAAGCCCCCAACCCCGCCACCACTCCCACTGCCACCCCCACTCCCTCCGCCGCCTCCACCGGCACCTCCATTGCCCCCGCCAGCCCCTCCAGCGCCCTTGCCCCCCTTGCCCTAGCCAGTGCGGTGTCTCACGCTAGGGGCTTACGCAACGCCAAAGAAGTCGACGGCAGCAGCAGAGGAAACAGAGGGCAAATTGGGGGAGGGGGAGCACCCCTTAAAGACAGGGGCACGCGGGTCACCTCTAGAGGCTCCTACAGCGACTATACTCTTCTCAACTGCCAAGAGGCGCTCCTGGAGGAGGTCAACGGTGAGTGTGGTGGGCAAACAGAGAGGAAGTGGTCCCTGACCGAGCGGAGGGAGTCAGGGAGCCGGGTGACTATGTAGTAGAGGGTGATGTACATGGGAGGGGGGTTCTTGGCGCAGAACTCAGCAGGAAGTGCAGCGCGGTAGCGGGTGTCACTAGTGTGGAGGTGCGTAATGAGGTCAGCGACTGTGGGAAAGGCGGCGAGGTCAGGGAACAGGTACGGCAGCATGAGGCGGCTAAGAGCAGCAGTGGCAAGGGAAGAGTAGCGTGCAACTACAGCGTCGTACAAGGTCTTAGCACTCTTGTACTGACTAAAGTGCGCGCGCTCAGTGGACGGAAAGGTACTACGCACAGCAAGACGGGCAGCAGCATCACGTGTGGCCCACTGTGAGCGAACAGTGCTGTCAGCATCGGCAGCAGGGGCAGCAGAGGCGCCAGACGTGAGATCGAACAGTGAGAGACCGTCTTTTCTATCGCACCGTAGGAAAAGCTGTAGATCATCGACCCAGACCTCAAAGTCAACAGCCCTACCCTCAGCATCAAAGACGAGAACGCTAGGGGTAGCCATGACAGCAGTGGCAGCAGGCTAGGGGGAGCAGCAGCAGTAGCAACAGTAGGGGCGCGGCTTGGCGGTGCTCTTACCAGGGCAGGTGGGGCCGTGAATGGCGGCGACAGGGCCGCGAAGGGCCGCGACGGGGCCGTAAAAGGGCCGCGAGGGGCCGCGAAGGGGCCGTGAGGGGTGGTAAGGGGCCGCGAAGGGCCGTGAGAGGTTGGAGTCGTATGCCTCCTGCGTCAGCAACTCCCGTAGGGGTTGGTAGGAAGGTACCCAAACTCGGTTAGTACCGATTTTTAGGTAATAACTCCCATGTGCCGTGGTCACCCGTTGGTGTTGATTTGCCCTGAAAAAACGGTCAAACCTGTAGCCGTGCTGGAAGAATCCTGCCAATAAAGGGTTAGAGTGGGCGATTAGTACTGCTGCGGTCTGCATGGAAGGGCGGGTCAGGGCGTCGGCGATGTTGTTGGTGCCCTTTTTGTACGTGATGGTGTAGGTGAAGTTCGACTCGAGGTAATCGAGCCACCTGATTTGTCACGGGTTGAGCTGTGGTTGGCTGCGCATGTACTGCAGAGAATTGTGGTCTGTCCTGATCGTGATGTCGGCTCCCGTGAGGTAACAACGCCAGGTACGAAATGCATGCACGATGGCGAGAATTTTCTTTGTCGTGTACATGGTAGTTGCGCTCGAGCGGCTGCATTTTCCATGACTCGTACGCGATGGGTTGCAGCCCGTTGCCGGAATCCTGTAGGAGGACGGTGCCGACGGCGAAATCGCTGGCGTACGTCACAACTTCGAACGGTTGAGATGGGTCTGCCAGCCGAAGTACCGGGGGTGAACTCAAAATTTTCTTCAGCTCGTCAAAGGCCAGCTGTTCTCTCTCCCTCCAACAAAATTGCATGCCCTTATATAGAAGATTGGTTAACGACCTAGTTACCCCCACCATATTTGGTACAAAACGGTGGACGTAGTTAACGAAGCCAAGGAAACTCTGCAACTCCGTGATGTTTGTGGGCGGCTTCCACTCCGAAATTGCCGTCACTTTGCGAGGGTCAATTTTAATGCCCTCCCCTGGAACCACGTGCCCCAGGAAATCCAGCTTCGGCTGTAAGAACTCACACTTAGAGCCCTTCGTAATCAGTCGGTTCTGCTGCTAGCGCCGGAAAACCTCCCCTAAATCCTGCAAATGCTGCTCCCGAGTCTTGCTGTTCACCAGGATGTCGTCCAGGTAAACGATGACTTTCTTGTCCAGCATGTCACGAAACACCCTATTCATGGTGAGCTGGAAGGTCGAGGGCGCGTTCGTCAACCCAAACGGCATCACTGTGTATTGGTAGCTGCTGTAGCGGGTGCGGAACGCCGTCTTCGGGCAGTCGTCGGCGAACGCGCTAATCTGATGGTAGCCACCTCGCAAGTCGATTTTCGAGAAGAAGCGGCCCCCACAAAGCTGATCCAGCAGGTCGTCCGTTCGCGGAATCGGGTAACGTGACTTGATGGTGATCCGATTAAGCGCTCGATAGTCAATGCACATGCGCAGACCTCCGTCCTTCTTTGGTGTGAATAGTATCGGGGCGGCGTATGGGGACGTGCTCGGCTGGATAAAACCCTTCGAGAGCAGATAATCCAGCTGTTTCCGCAACTCGTCAAGCTCTGGTTGGCTGAGCCGCCACTGTGACCGAACAGTTGGTTTTGTGCCCTGCTCCAACTCGATCCTGTAGTCTTCTGGTTGCTGGGGTGGCAGCCCGTCAGGCAGGTCATCCGCGAAAATTTCGGGATACCTCCGAATTATGCTCGTCGCGTCCTCTGGTACATCAGCGCAGAGCGTGTCAATGTCGCGATTTTCTCGGATGCAACCACCTCGTATAGCTGTACGGCGTAGCCTTGCGCTCTCCATTTGATCGCCCTCGTTAGTGTGATCGCGTTGACACGTGTTGTCATCGCCTCCGGCTCCATCCATTTTGGAAGTTTCATGCACCCCTTGTTGCACAGCACCGTGATTGCTCCCGTCGTTCAGACGATCGTCGGATTAAATCTCTGTAACCAATCTCGTCCCAGCAGCACATCGCAACCGTCCTGTGTCGTCGCCAGCATCTTCATTGAATACTCGAAATCGTTGCCGCACTTCATCCGATTTTTTCGCACCTCGTCCTTGATCGCCAGCGGTGTCCCGTCCATCAGTCGCGCGTCAATTTTGGGCAGACACCTCTCCAGCTTGACTCCGATTTTTTGGGCCGTTGCTAGGTTGACGAGACTGTGGCTCGCCCACCGTCAATGAAAAGTTTTATTGTATATCGGTTAACCCTCCCCACGACTAGCACAGGGTGATCCACGTGTTCATCCACTATATTCGTCCGGTTGCTGTTGATAGCCCGTATAGGTACCACTACTCGGTGTGGATGGTGATTGCCGGGCGACGGGGTCTCGTCAGTAGGTGGCCCAACTATTGACTCGTCTCTTTCTCGACCCCTCTCCGTCATTCCTTTTTCCCTGTTTCAGCTTCGGGCAGTCCTTCTTCCAGTGGCCCGGTTGGTTGCAGTTGAAGCACGTGTTAGGTCCACGTCTTGGCGCATCTACACCGTTGATTGTAGGCTGGCGTGGCAGTCCACGAAATTGAGTGCCCTCCCGAGAACTCATCCTCGACCACTGCATCAGCGCGTCCGTTGATTTGGCCATCCGGACGGTGTCAAGGAAGTTGTATGGCCTCGTCCGTTGCACCTCGTACTGTACTACGTATTTGAGGCCTGCCACATATCGGTCGAGTCGCCTCGCGTCACTCATATCGTCCACCTGGTCGGCCAAATTGCAGAACGTCGCTGTGTAGTCTTGGACCGACGCCACCTGCTTCCAGGTACGAGGCTTCATGCGAGCAGAATCCGAGGTGGATACATGCTCGAATCTGGCTCGCAACGCGGCGGCCCACTCCGTCCATGTGCAAATCGTAGCCACTCCGAAGATTGTAGTTGCTCGTTGCATGACAAGTGTCCAGGTCCCGTCGTTGGCACGTGACAGTCATGTCGAAGTCCCCTCTATTTGAAGAGTCCGCTTCCACCACTCCAACGCAGGACCGCGTAACAGTGACACAGCAAAACTAATGCGAGTGATATCGTCAGCAATTTGCGCAGCATTGAAGAAAACCTCCATGCCGAACAACCACACGGACATAGTGATGGTTTTGTCGCTGGGGTTGAACGGGGGCGAGTTTGTCGGTTTTATTTTAACAGTTGTCGAGAGTGTTGCTGCTGCATGCATTGGGGGCGCCACTGAAGCCATCGCCGGGGTTGTCGCTGGTGCTTGTCGTGGCAGTGTTTGCGACTGTTGCCTTGGCGTTGCTTGCTACTGTGGTTGCTGTCCTGGCGCTTCCCATGTTTCTTGCTGCCGTGCCGCCCACTCCTCTTCAGCGTCCTGTGAAGCATCCAGCTCGTTAAACACGTTCTCGTTGAGTGAGGAGCTGCTACTCGCTTCATCCACGACGAGCGACTCCTAACGCGCTTCACCTCGTGCCTGGCGTAGTTCAGCGTTTTCCACCCTCAGGCGCTCCTGTCAGAAAGAAGAAGTGATCAACTAGAAACATTTGGGAGGACAAGTATGAAACCCTAGAGAAATGTACACCCTAAAGGCTAACCCACTATAGCCTACAAAACAGAAACATATACAATGTTTGACACACCCCCATAGGCTAAGTGGGGGAGAAAAAGAGGTCACAAGACAAGTCAAGAAAGACAAAGCAAGCTCATGGTGGATCACAACGACACCACACACTCTGAGCATCAAACTGATCTATACCTAGCAAAGCAAACATGCAGGTATAAATATATAGATCACAGTACAAGCAGAGTCTACAACAAGTGAGGAAAAGTGGGCACAAGCCCTAGCAAAGTGCAGGAACGCTGATGAACACCAGACTGAAGTGCCTTGGTGAATATATCAGCAGTGTTGGCCTGAGTGGCCACGTAACGCAGACAAAGCTGACCACGCTGCTACAACTCTCGAGCTAGAAATTAACGTAGAGCGATGTGCTTCGTTCTGTGCTCCAGTCTGTGCTCCTCACACAAGGCAATGGCAGCCTTGTTGTCGGCATACAGAACAAGAGGAGAACGAGGCCGCTCTACCAGGTCGGTCAGCAGGTAGGTGAGCCAGCGTAACTCCTGTGCAGCCATGGCTGTGGCGAAGATTTCAGCCTCACAACTAGAGCTGAGAACTGAAGACGAACGCGTAGAACTCCACGAAACTGAGCCAGAGCCAAGGCTGAAGGTGTAACCCTATGACGACCGCTGAGTAGCCTGGTCATCAACCCAAGAAGCGTCTGAGTGCCCAGTGAGAACAACTGAGCTCCCCCCTCCAAGCACGAGCCCCATGCCCGATGTACTGCACAAATAGCGCAATACCCTCTTTGCAGCATCCCAGCGCACCTTTCGGTGCCTACCAGGAGCCACGTAGCAGGCCAGAAGGCCAAGAGGGTACGCTAGGTCAGGACGAGTGCAAGTCATCAGATACATGAGGCAACCAACTAGCTCTGGGTAAGGACCACTAGGCTCTAAGGACTGATCCGAAGGCAAAGCTGAGAGCGAGTGACCTCTAGCCAGAGGAGTGGCCTGTGCCAAGGACGAGGTGAAGCCGAAGCGCTGAAGGACCTGCTGCACCATGTGTGACTGAGTCAGTGTGATGGTGCGGCGTGCTCTGTCCCGGGTGATCTGCAAACCAAGGTAGCTGCGCAGTTCACCCAGGTCTATGCACGTGTGTCTCTTTTGCAGCTCCGACTTCACGTGGGCGAGAGCTTCAATGTCAGCAGTGGTAAAGACCAAGTCGTTGACGTACACGAAGATGTAGAACGGCGGTAGCGAAGTGTCGGTGCGCAGAAACAACGACGGGTCAGCAGTAGAAGGCGCGAGCCCAAGTGCCGCAAGAGTAGTCCTCAGTGTGTCGTGCCACTCACGTGGCGCCTGGCGGAGACCGTAGACCGGCGGCCGGAGGCTCCACTGGGTACCAGGAGGAAACGACCCAGTGAAGCCAGGAGGGCGGCGCAGCTAGATCTCCTGGTGCAGGCTGCCCTGCAAAAAAGCTGTGCTGAAGTCAAGAGAGTGAAGCTTGTAGTCACGCTGAGCCGCAACGTGCAGTAGCACCCGAAGAGTGGTCATCTTCGGGGTGGGGGAGAAGGTCTGAAAGAAGTCTACTCCCTCTCGCTGGATGAAGCCTCGAGCAACGTAACGAGCCTTGAAGACAGGCGGAGAACCTGGCGGCCGCTTCACCCTGAAAATCCACATGCCACTGACAATGTTCGCCCCAGGAGGGGGAGCCTCGTCGACGTAAGTGCTAGTGGACTTCCAGGATGCCATCTCTGTGTCCATGGCTGACTACCACTCAGAGGAGTACTCACCCGCGGTCGCCTCAGCGTAAGAGTGCGGGGTCGGGATGTTTGGAGCATGCGGGTCTCTCTCAGGGGCAAGCGACATGGACACGAGATGAGGCACAACGGTTGCGGGACACTTAATGTCCTCTTGTCTGTCCTGAAGGACGTCCGTGCCTAGAGCACACTCATCCGCGACGGTCGGAGGAGAGACAGACTCAGACTCAGCAACAAGACTCGCGGCGTAGTCTAGACGACAGCGAGCAGCAAAGTCGACAAGCTCAGAAACTAGGGCAGACGCAACAGCAGACTCAAAGGAAGGGTCAGTGACAGGAGTGGCCAGGAGACGCGTGACAGTAGGACTGGCTGCACGAAGAGAGTCAGACTCCGGGTCAGCAAGAACACGAAGAGAGGACGCAGGAGGTGATGGCAGCGGGACACGCTGTGGAGTAGTGGAAGGACGCAGAGTCATATAGTGTGTGCCAGGGACAGGTGGAGGACGCTCACGCGGAACACTTCGACCAGTGCGAGCAGGACGAACAAGGGACACAGGACGAGACACAAGCGACACTGGACGAGACTCAGGCTCACGACACTCTATAAGACCGCCTGTTGGACCAGTGTAGAGAGAAGGACCAGGAAATGGCGAGGCAGGCGGTAGCTGTGACTGCGACTGGACAGGCGGAGGACACTCTAAGGAGGGAGGAGGACTAGGAGGAGGCGGCTGACCAAGAACCTGCTGAAGAAGCGGAACGAAGTACAGCCGCGGCCGTGAAGTGCCCCCAGAAGCAGCAGAGACAGCAGCACCAGCACCTCCAGCAGTTCGAGAACCTCCAGCAGCACCAGCAGCACCTCCAGTAGCTCCAGCACCTCCAGCAGCACCAGCACCAACAGCACCTCCAGCAGCACCAACAGCACCTCCAGCAGCTCCAGCACCTCCAGCAGCACCAGCACCAGCAGCACCTTCAGCAGCTCCAGGACCTCCAGTAGCAGCAGGGCCTCTAGTAGGACGTACCTTAACACCCGCAGTCTCCGCACCCCCAGTCTTCGCACCCCCAGGCTCAGCACCCCCAGTCTCAGTATCCCTAGACCCAGCACCACCAAGCTCAGCACGCTGAGCACCTTGCGCAGGACCAGAGTCAACAAATACCTCAACAGGCTCGACCGGGTCTAGCTGGGAAACACCTGAGGGAGCAGCACCCTGGGGAGTGAAGGGGTCTACCCACGGGACACCTGGGGTGAGGAAGAGCGGCGAGGGGGGGAGCGGGGCAGTGCGGTAGGGGAAGAGACGGTAAAAGGGTACCGACTCGTCAAAGGTGACGTTCTGAGAGGCGAAGACACGGCGCGAGGTGGGGTGGTAAAACTGCCAGCCAGGCGCGTTAGGGACAAAGCCAAGGAAGACACAGGGAACGGCACAGGAGGAGCGCTTGTCCGCGGACGTATCGCGGACAAAGGCTCGACATCCCCAGACTCGGAACAACGACGCATCGCCAACCTCCCCCGTGCAGCGCAGGGTAGGCGAGGTCTCCGGAACAGAGACACGAGGTCGGAGGTTGAGCTGATGCGCGGCGTACTGCACTGCAAACGGCCACAGGAAATGGGGGGCAGCCGCATGGATCATGGAGGTACGAGCGACCTCCATGACGAGACCAATGTGGCGCTCAGCAACCCCATTCTGCTGCGGAGAGGCCAAGAGAGTGAACGTCTGGCGGATGCCGTGCTCCGCACAGTAGGCTGCTAAGAGGTATGAGGAAAACTCGCCACCTCTTTCAGAGTGCAGACGTAGGACAGGAAAGTCCGACTTGTACCGCTCGTGGAGCTGGAGACGAGCAGTGCGGATCCAGGGGATCAAGACATCAGGGACCTCACCCTTGGTACGCAAGGGGAAGACCATGGTGTAGCGCATGTAGTCGTCGACAACCAGCAGAAAGTACCACTTGTGGCCCTGTCCCCGGACGCGGGCAGGGCCCCACACATCCAGGTGGAGAGTCTACAGGGGAGCCTCTGTGGGAGGGAACGAGAAGTGAGGAGCAGCACGCTGCCGCCCCTCGACACAGGGAAGACAAGGAGGAGCAGGCGAGGGTGGTAGGGGAGGGAGAACCCTGGGAAGACCAGAGACAAGGTACCTGGAGTGCATGCCGCGAAGGCGCTGCACTGACGGGTGACCAAGGCGGTGGTGTCTGAGGACAAGCCTGTGTGACAGGGAGCGACACAAGCAGGGGGACGACAGCTGACCTGACACAGACGCAGACGCAGCTACCTGAGGGGACTAAGTGGTCAGTGTGTACAAGTCCGACCCCGACTGCCGAGTGAAGGTAGCCAGGTGATGACCCGTCTGGGCACACGTGCAGTGCGTCACACGCTCGTAGGCAGGGGTGAAATGGTGAACACCCGCGTCCTCGAGTGCGGAACCCGCCACCAAGTTCGTAGAGAACGAGGGGAGGTAGAGGCTCGACAGCATGCCAGACGGGACAACAGGACAAGGGAGGGCAGTGGTGGAGGTCGCAAGGACCGGACCCCCGGAGGGGTCAGCAAGGGAGACAGCAACCGGTCTAGGAAGCTGCACTAGGGCAGTGCGTGCGAAGATAACTACTACAACGGGAGCTTAGAGTACTGGCTAGGCACGTGTGCTCGTGTGATGTATGCGTTCGTTGGTCCTTAGACGTTTTCCTAGTGCTCACACTTCTTGCTAGTTCACGGGGCAATTTGGCAAGAGTTTCACTAGAGAAAGTTGTCAATAATGGTCCAATGAAGTTGGCAATGCAAGACTACATCAGAGCTAGCATTCAGGTTGGTCGACTGCGAGCACAGCATGGTCGACCGTGTTCCAGCACGACTTGGTCGACCACGCTACAGCAGTGCAAAGTCGACAGCTTGCCAACGCTGCAGGTTGACGGTGTGCCAGCATTGCTCACGCAGGACAGCAGTGCACCCGCTTTGCAGGTGCGCGCAGCTGATTGGCATGCAAAGTCTCGTCACCTGCACAGCGTACACACCACGTCAACCTCGGGCTAGCGACTTGCCTCTGATCCGCCACGACGACCTCGGGATACCACCATGGAGGTCGGTCTCGCCAACTTCGCCTGGGTGACCGCCGCACTCCTTCGCAGAACCTCGTCACCCAGGTATCCTGGTCGACCGGGCAACTATGTCGACCAGCTGCTCCTGTATGTGCTCGTCGACCTCCCAAGTCGGCGACCTTGCAAGTCGGCGCCGACTTGCAAAGTCGGTGACCTTGCAAGTCGGTGACCTTGCAAGTCGGTGACCTTGCAAGGTGACCTTGCAAGTCGGCGCCGACTTCCAGGTCGACGTGCCACATCGCCGACCACCAGTTGAAGTCGGCCGCTGGCTTCCCAAGTCGGCGGTATTGCAGTGGCGCCGTGCAAGTCGACCAACCCCGTCGACCAGCTCGTCCAAGTCGGCGTCGCCCACTGCTGCAAGTCGGCTGTACCTTCCGTACACCCCACCACGAAGTCGGCTCCGCCCAAGCGTGGACGGGGCCAACACACAACTCCCGTTGACAGTGCGGTCGCGAAAGAAACAGCGGGAAGCACCGGAGTCCAGTGTGAAGGTGTGCAGTGCCTCAGTAGGTGCGGTACCAGCAGACGCAGACGCACTAGCACCTAGGGCAGCAGTCTCACCAGGACCTACAGCAGCAGACGCACTAGCACCTAGAACTGCAGCCTCACTGGTCCCAATACCTGGGCCGGGCGGTACACCCAGATAACAGTCACCCTCAACACTAATAGTCAATGCATACATAGCAGCAAGGATAGCATCATAATCAACAGCAAAGATATCAATCCCCTTCTTAAGCAGATCAGCCCAACAGGGCAGCTCAAAGGCGTCAGGAAACTGCTCGCGCCAGGCATCGTCGAGGCAAAAGAAACAGCGCTGCATCGTGTGAAACCTCCCACAGGTCTGGCCAGTGCGGTCACCTCTACGGATGACGTACGGGCAGGTACCTCCACCCCTAGACCCCCCACGCTGAGAGTACCACTCACGGAGCTGCTGGGGTGACTAGGTCTTGCTTGGACGCTGCTGCTGCTTCCTCTGGCCGCCGCCGAACCCGCCGCACTGCACCGCTCCACCGCGCCCTCCACCAGCTCTACCGCCGCCACCACTGCCACCACCACCCCCGCCACCTTCACCACCGCCGCCTCCACCACCCCCGGCTCCGCCACCGCCCCCCCCACCACCAGCACCACTCCCACCACCGCCGCCACCGCCGCCGCCCCCTCCACCCCCTCCACCACTACCTCCCCCGCCGCCACCTCCGCCACCCCAGCCCCCCTTGCCCTTGCCGCCCTTGCACCGCCCACTGGGAGCGTACGCAGCTCCGACCCCCTCAGCACCTAGGAAGTCGACAGCAGCAGCAGATGCAATGGAGGGGAGAAGGGGGGAGGGGGGACATCCCTCAAAGAAGGGAGTGCGAGGGTCGCCATGAGAGGCACCTACAGCTACAATGCTCTTCTGAGCTGCAAGGAGTTCCTTCTCGAGTAGGTCGACTGTGAGGTCTGTGGAGGAGCGAGCAGAAAAGAGGTCCCTGACAGCACGAAGAGAGTCAGGGAGGCGAGTGACTAGGTGGTAGAGGGTGAGGTACATCGGGGGGGTGTTGTTGGCTAGGAAATCGGGGGGGAGCGCAGCACGGTAGCGGAGATCACTAGTACGGAGGTGAGTGATGAGGTCAGCTACAGTGGCAAAGGCAGACAGATCCAGGAAGAGATAGGGCACTGAGAGACGGCCTATCGCAGCAGTAGCAGGGGAGGAGTAGCGTGCAACTACAGCATCGTATAGTTCCTTAGCGGTCTTATGCTGGCCGAAGTGCTCGCGTTCATCTAACGGTAGGTGACTGCGAACGGCTAGACGAGCATGGGCGTCACGAGTCTGCCACAGTGAGCGAGCAATACTGTCAGAAGTAGCAGCAGGTGCGGGGGCAGCGCCGGACGTGTGGTCATATAGGGAAACGTCGTCCTTGGCAGTGATCTAAAGGAACATGTGTAGGTCATCGAGCCAGACATCAAACTTAATCGGTCGGCCCTCAGCGTCAAAAGTGAGAACAGTGGGACAGGCCATAGTGGCAGTAGCAGTAGCAGTAGTAGCAGTAGGAGTAGCAGAAGTAGCAGTAGGAGTTGTCAGAACATATATGTAGCTTATGCTGTTGTGTAGGCTACAGTGGGGTGTCCCATAGGGGGTACAACCCAATTAGGGTTTTGCTATTTGTACCCAACTCTTTCATAGTGCATTCATTCTCGTTCTATTCTCCACATGGTATCGAGCAGGTTCCCCCGTGGGAACTGTGCTTAGGGCCCACCACTTTTTAAAACTTTTTTTTCTGCCCGGAGCGCGCTCCGGGCCCTCGCTCTCACTCTTTCGGCCTGCCCTGCGGCCCCCTAGCCGCCCGCGCGCGCCCGTTCAGGCCCTAGCCGCCCGCGCGCCGCCCGTCCGGCCCTTAGCCGCCGCGCGCCGCCCGTCCGGCCCCTAGCCGCTCGCGCGCCGCCCGTTCAGGCCCCTAGCCGCTCTGCGCGCGCTCGTCCCGGCCCCTAGCCGCTCGCGCGCCGCCCGTTCAGGCCCCTAGCCGCCCGCGCGCCGCCCGTCCCGGCCCCTAGCCGCTCGCGCGCCGCCCGTTCAGGCCCCTAGCCGCCCGCGCGCGCCCGTCCCGGCCCCTAGCCGCCTCGCGCGCCGCCCGTTCAGGCCCCTAGCCGCCCGCGCGCCGCCCTGTCCGGCCCTAGCCACCCGCGCCGCCCGTCCCGGGCCCCTAGCCACCCGCGCGCA